CCATACTGCATTTAGTACTACTATTTCAGTTGACGTCCTACGTTTGATCGAGCTCGCGCCGAGATGCAGTCGGAATTCTGCTCGACACAGCGAACATGGCGAGTGACAGGCCAACATGTGAAGCCCGAGTCGGTGGAGGCTGCAGTCGACGTGACGAAAAAGTTGCTCGTGGAAAACGGATCTCTGTCCGACGTAGTCAAGAAGCGTGAGCGCAGTGACAGCGAGGTTGAAAGCGGAGCATCGAAGAAGTCCAAATCCGACCAGGATGTCGCCGGTGGCAAGAAACAAGCAGACGGGTCAATCCTATTCGACTTATCGTCCAAGAAGTTAGTGTCTGTGCGGGCGTGGAAAAGTGCGATTCTGGTCGACATTCGCGAGTACTTCGACTCGAACGGAGAACGCAAGCCTGGAAAGAAGGGTATATCCTTGACGACGGATCAATTTCATGCTGTGATGAACCTCATCGATGACATCGATTTGAGCGTCAACTGGGTGCAAAACCCAGACAAGTCTGTTGCGAACTACACAGTGGACACATTGAGCGATGTTGAGCCCAATTCTGTCGCATTTGTCGTATGTGTCCGACTCGTTATCCATCCCCTGAGTGTCCTTGTAGATTTCCAGTAAACGACGTGTGTCTGTGCGGAAATTCAAATCTATGGTGCTGGTGGATATCCGAGAGTATTACGACGCAAATGGAACGATGAAGCCAGGGAACAAGGGCATTTCGTTGACAAAGGAGCAATGGAACGTGTTAAAGTCTCACGTGGACGCCATCAAGACAGCAATGGCGTTGCTGGTGTCGTAGATTCAGAAAACCAATATGCGTTCGCTTCGTGAAAGAGTATGTTATCTCTAGAAACCTTTACAACACGTAAGAAACGTACGAGTACACAATCGAAGGGACATCTATATCTTATATCGTCGTGACCTTCATCCGTTTGGGATTGCTTCCTGTCCGACTTCCTGCGCCATGCCCTCGCTTGCCGCCTCCTTCGTCTCCGTCGTCGCCATCGTCATCATCGTCATCATTGTTGGGGTCGACCTGGTTGTCATGCTGGTGCTGCTGGTTTGAAAAAGTGTTGTCGGGATGTCCCATGTACGGTTGTTGCTGTTGTTGATATTGCTGTTGGTGGTGTTGATGGTGTTGGTGATGTAGTTGCGACGGAGTGGACGACGGCGAGTCGTACGGACTACTGCTTCCGTCGTGGCTTAGCCGGTGAGGATTGAATCCAAGGTTGCTGTTCTTCTGGTGGCCAAAGTCGTTCGGGCCTAAGTTCAGACCCAACACTCCCGACTTGTCCCCGTCGCTAGGCTCGCCTGACATGCCGAGGTGCATGGTACTACCGTCGGAATTTTGAGGACTGAACTCGTGCCGAAGGAGCATGTTCGCAGCTATGATACCAGGTAAGTTTAACTCGTTTGACGGTGAGAGGACGTACTGGTGGGAGAAGGAAGAATGCCGTGCAAGTTGGAGGGACTTGGGAGGACAGATAGCATGTGACTTCCATGAACCGCAGATAGCATCCCGAGCTATATCGAGATTTCGATGATTCGATTCATCATTTGCACGCATGACGTACGCCATGTTGATACATCGGCAGCTGGGGCGGGGCGTATTGCATGTCTTTCTTCTGGAGCAGTTGCTGAAACCCTTTTGGAGCTCGCTTTTTGTTCATGTTTCGATTGTTGAGCATATATTGATCCGGCTACAGTAATTGACCAGGTCAGGGCAAGGCCAGGAATCATTTCAAGGGATTCAGAACGTACGTCGTTAGTCAGACCGAGTGACACACCAGACACCCCCGCGCCAAGCATGCGATCGTTCGGAGCGGTCATGCTGGAGTACGCCGGGGAACTCTCGTGGGATGACAAGCCACCATAAGGACTGCCTTCGTTGCCCTTCTTCTTGTTTTCGCCGAATAACGTGTCGTACTACAATCAATCAACGTGTCATCCATAGTTCGTCTAAAACATGAAGCACACTTACGTCTGCATTGTCTTTTGTCTCGTAAGGCTCGCCATATTCAGTGTATTTGAGAAGGATTTGATCCACGCTCGTGCTCGAGTATTGATACAGCTTGTCGTTCGAGTCAAAGACGATGAGCGCAATCTCGCAGTCGCACAGCTTGGACAGCTCCATGGCTTTCTTGAAGATGCCTGTTTTCCGCTTGGCGAACGTGACCTATAGAAGACGTGTGGATGAGGTTTAGTTTCTCGATCACCACTCCCCGGACAACACAGATCCGCATACCTGTCGGTTGCGGTCGTCGTCGATTCTCTGGATCTTAATCTTCTTGCGTCCCATCGTGAGCGGGCAGGGAGAGAGCGCGAGCGGTCGGCGGAAGCGGCGAGTGTTTGGTCACCTATGAATCCAGTCCCACTGTCACGTCGGAGCGAATTCTAAAAATGGAACAGCAGCCGGAGGGGCGCTATCCGGATGAAAGATCCCTTGCAGTCGTCAATGTCGACGCACCAAAAGAATGCTTGAGGACGCGCTGGCGGCAACGGCGGCGGCGGGAACTTGCTGTCGACGGAGACGAAACGCTCCTTGGTCGAGCTGCGGGGATCGCTTCGACGCGGTGACCCAAATGAGAAATAACAAGCATGGAATTGGATATTCCACATACCCCGTTAACTTTCGAAATTGGAGTTGGCCAGTCCCCGAAAATGACAAAATCGGGCACGAGGTTTCAATACATTTTTCGAGTTAAGGGCATTTGACGCGCTCGGATTGGCCAAAGAACGTCCCTCTTTCTAGTATACAAGTGGTGCTACCACCCCTTTATGGCCACATTGGCCCAGGCGGCGTTCCAAAAATAGAAAGTTTGGGGCGCTATATATACATTTCACCATACATTTATCGAATGCAATGTCAGCCAATCACAGGTCACCCCTACCCCGCGCCAGGTCACTTGGAGTTTGTATGTCAACAAGAGGTTCCGAAACAACCCACACGATCGATTAGGGTTCGACCTGTTAAACTTAATACAGTTACAAATTTTTCGAGTGAATCCGCGCCGCCATCGCGCGACAAAACAACTTGGCGTCCACGTACGGCTTCTGGCTGCGCAACCAGTACTCGGCATCTTCCATCGTGACTTGGATTTCGTGCTTGTTTCGACGGGCATTTGGGGCGATTGACGTGTTCACACGTCCTTCCAGCATCACCGAGCCTTCCTGCGTCAACTTGAGCTTCAAGTCCTTGCGTGCCAATTCGTCAATATCCATGTCTTCTTCGTCTTTGTCCATGAGGTCCTTCTTGGACGTAGACGACGCAGACGGCGGTGCTTTTGGATTCGCTTTGCCTTTACGCCGCTTGTTGTTCTTGTCCTTATCAGCCGACTCGTCCTTGCGCCCTTCCTCCAACAGTTCGGAACGAAGCGCTTGGTCTGCTTGCATCTGTCGATTGAAGTGTTCATCCGAGCTCAATCGCAGGATCTCCACGGCAGTCTACCGTACAAAAAGCAGAGTAAGAATGCGTGCTTTCTCGGCCCATGTATGCCCATACCTTGGCGGGGTGGGAAGACGGCGGAGGTGGCTGCTTGCGGGGAATGCTGTTCGCATATGCGTCGTTGCGCTGCTTAGCAATTTCGACCATTTCTTCCAACGCTTGCTTGAGGTACTCATGGAGGGCGAGGCCCATCACTTCCGTTACATCTTCCCCTGTTTGGGGCTGCAAACCACCGGCGATGAAGGCTTTGGCCATCGTTTGTTGAAGTCCTTGGTGCTGGAAGAGTTCACTCCAGGTCTCTCGCTTGGGCCCAAGTTGCTTGGCCTTGGGGGGCACGCCGGCCAACATGATGCGCTTTTCCACTTGCGGATCGATGTTCGTGTGCGTCAGAACATCCGCTTCCCGGCGCAAGTCATTGGCGTTGGTCGGCGCTAGTTCTTCCGTTAAGTCATACGTTTCGATAGCGCCGGGGTGGTTCTGTTGCAGGTACGCCGTTGCATTGGACGCCAAAGCTTTCTTGGTGACCGAAGACGGGGCAAAGCTGTTCGCGGGGGACGCCTTCACCTTCTTGGCAGGTCCGCCGTCGAGCGGGGAGCGCGGCGAAGTCGCCGTGCCTGGGCGCTTGGTCGTCAAACCTATAGTACTCTGGCTTAACAAAATTGAAACGAGTCAACGTACCTTGAGGAGTCAGTTGTTGACCAGGGACCGCGACAGCTGCCCCGGTATTTGTCGCGGGTTGCTGCGGAGGAGCCGTGGCAAACGGAAGCGGCTGGAGACTGACGCTGCAAACGGGACACGTGACTTTGTTGGGGCACTGCTTGTAGTGATTGAATACTTGCAAGTACGTTTTCGCCTTGACAACAGTCGTGGCGGGGTTTTGCATTTCCCTCATGTATTCCTTGGACTCGCTGCAGCCTGGGGCGGGGCATCCCGACGACAAACTGCACTTTTGGCAGTGAAGGATCATCTGCAAGATTTGACCGTAGTCCGTCGCTTTGGGTGTTTGCTGCGTCGTTGTCGCGGGAGTCGCCGTTGCTGTGGCTTGGGGGGTTGGTGCTGCAGGTGCTAATATGGAATTGTAGCCATCCAGAGCTGAAAAATTGAGTGCTGAGATACCTGCATGTTGGGTCGCTGGACTCGGCTGGGTATATGGGGGCACCTGTTTTTTTACGGCTTGAGGCTCGTGGAGGTCTGGGTGTACATTCGACTGAGGAGAATTTGCCGGTGGGTCTTTCATCGAGGGCTGTCGTGGTCCTGCTACACGGCAATCGATTGAGCGGGTCACAGTCATTCGCTTACCCAGCGTACCATTCGACCGCATGGTGTCACAAAAGGGAATCGGACACCGGTCTCGAGGCCCGACAGTACATTCGGTCGCGTGCAATTTAACCAGCGTGCGCAATTGTTCGCAGTGGTGGCACTCGCGCCCCCCTCCACACGTCATACTGTGCTTAAAGAAGCGCTTGATGTCGTCGCATTTGGCCATCGCCTATGCAAACCTTTCCGTCACGAGTGCCTTCACCGCAAGTACTGTTACTTTGCATTCGCCGGGGGCTGTTGTACAGGTAGCTGAATGCGCCAGCAACTGACGGGCAAAGCGAATCTTGGCACTGGCCTCCGTCGACTGATGCGTGGCTGCAGATGGTGGTGCAACCACAGCTGCTGGGGCTGGCGCACGTTGCTGCGCTGGTTGCAACGTAGCTGCCATTGGACGGTTCGGCGTGGGGGCTGCCTGGTAGGTCGTCAGTGCTTGCGAAAACGGAATGGAAGTTGGCACAGTGGGCACCGGCTCTGCCTTCATCGTGGGTTGGGTGGGAAACGTCCGCGGCGTCGACGTCTATACGATGCGCGTGACAAATCATGAAGTGCGAAGGGAATGATGTACCGGAATGGAAAATCCACCGACTTCTTGGCACAGCACATTGAAGATTGGCTCTCCCAACGATCGCTTGACCAAGTCCACGATGAAGTTCATGTCGTTCTGAATCATGGGTAGCGAGATCAATCGAAATTCAGGATGGAGGGTGCTGCATGTACCTTGACACCAATTTGCCGCGTGCGCACTTCTTCAAACAAGGGCTTGTACTTGTCTGGAAACCGTTCGAGAATAAGTCGAAACAACTTCTTGATCTTCTCTTCTTGCGTCATGACAGGTGGAGGGGCGGTTGGAGACGGAGTGTAGGCAATTGGAGCAGCCATAGCTTGATGCGGCGGAGCGATTACACCAACAGGCGGTTGCACGAGAATCGGCTGCGGCGAAAGGACCGCCCCTGGTGGAGGTAACATTCCCATGGACTGTTGCGCGAACCCACTCGTCATGTCTGTATTTCCTAAGGCTACCAGCATGCTTATTGTCAACACAAGGAACAGTTGGCGACTTACACATGTCGTCGTCATCGTCGTCGTCGTACAGGAGGTCGTCGATGGGAGCGCTCATTTTGGCAAATGACCGCCAGGTGCAATTTTGAAAACGGCATGGCATCCACAAAGGTGGATGAACACCTCGAATAAAAATTTCCGAACCAAAGAATTAAAAACAACCTCGCCTGGATATTGAATCGAATAATATTAGTTGTCTTAATGTACTCTTTCAAAATATTTGCATCGACCTGCTCCATGTTGTTGGAATTGGCCAAACGTCGCTCATGTGTGAGATGATGACGCCGCTCTTTCACAACAGAGCGGCGGCGCCGTACGACACCTTGGCTAGACTATTCCTCTATTGGCTCTGTGCATCTTCCAGATCATGCGATGCGCTTGTCATGGTGCCATCGATCTCGTGGGGAAGATGCATCGCACACACTTGCTGCCACTACATCAAGACGGCAAAAGCTTGCAGCATGTCCATTGCTGTCGTTCATTCATGCATGAAGGTATCTCTATCTCTTTTGCGTTTTGCAGTCGAGTCTGGCAGTTCCCATGGCATGCACACGACTTTTTTTCGTGTGGGGGTCATGGCCTGAAGTGGATGAAAAAGGATACATCTACGCCATCGCCTTCACGACGGCAGTGGCGGCGTTTTGCACCTCCTTTGAGCATTCCTGGACCGGGTTCCACCAGGAGCGTTGTCTGGGATCAGCGCACTCATGTATCAAATATGGGCCATAGTTTGCTGCACCGTTGTGTTGCTGCGTTGGTGTCGACAGAAGGAATTGCAAACGTGGCTTTAGGTTAGGAAGGCTCTGGTGGCTGTCGTTGCGATGTGGGGTCCATTGATGCGGGACGTATATCTTTACAGATGAGGCTGGACGAGTCCACCTCGATCGAAGTGGCGGGTTTGGTCAGCGTGGCTGTACTCGGGAATGTTATCCAGATTTGGGCTTGGCTTCGATCTTGGGAGCGATGGGTGGACACAGCGACGCTGGAGGGATTATGTGTTGTGGGGCAGCACCAGTCGGCGCCATGTACGGGTGGAACGACATGCCGTAGCCAGGAGGGGCCATGGGGAAATGCCCCGTCGGCCCGGCTGGGGATGGCATTTGTGTCATGGCCATGGCGTTGGCTGCGACCATGGACCCCATGTGGGAGAACTGCAGACACGACGCGAGCTTGCTCACTTCTTGCTTCATGCGGTCGCGATCGACGCGCAGTTCATCGCGCTCTCGTGTAAGCAGCTGCCAGGACGACACATGAATGACAAAGCACAGACTGCACCACGGATACCTTAATCGTTGTGATGGCTTCTTGCAGGACGGCACTTTTCCGGACTTTGTCGTTCATGCCCAGGAGGATCGTGAGCTCATCAAACTAGTTGTTTCGGTCAGAAAGGAGTAAAAAACGGAAAATATTGCATCGCAAGACCTTCACGTTGACTTCGTGTCGCCGCATTTTCTCGCGCGACTTTTTGCGAAAGCCGCGGTCGTCTTCGTCGTCGAATGCACCGCCATCGTGCCCCCCCCCAATGGTGCTACAACTAGAGCTGTCGCACGACTGCATGACTCCAAACGGCCTACAAAATAGGTTTCGTGCTGCGACAACGGAGATTTCGCGCGTGTATACCTCTTCATGCTAGAAGGTGTGGTGGACGATGTGGTTGCTGCCAACGTGGGGAGTTGCACCGTCGGATTGTGCTGCTGAGATTGAGTCCGGGTTTGAGTGAGCTGCGGTGATGGCGTTTCTGAAGGCAGCTGAATGGTTTGATGAACGACTGCGGGGGGTTCAATGGCTTTTTCTTCGAGACTGAAGTCGCTAAACTCGGACATGGCAGAGTCCAGGGCTTGACGAGTGAGCAAGGGCAGGACACTCGGAAACGGCGAGTTTGGTAGACTATTCGACAACAAAGCGCTTTTGAACTGCGTGTGTGTCGCGGCGGGTTGGCTGGTTGTTGTCGACGACCCGGCGTGTGGAGACGACCCTTCCTCGTCTGCATACCCCAACGAGAATCCCTTCCAATCCTCCGCCCCGGGTTCTGCAGGCATGTGTTCGCTGAGGAATCTCCCGAGATCCTCGATCTGCAAGCTGCTCATGTCGTCAAAGTCCATTCCTGCGGTGCCGACGGCTTGAATTGGGTGGTCTCGTTGGCGGCACCCGTGATCCGGGCATGCTACGATTTAACGTCCTCTATGGTGATGCTGTTTTGACGCGTTAAATATCAGGATGCAATACGTTATACACTAAAACGTCGACGGATGGGTCCAACCATCATTCGGATCAACTAAAACGCACGGTTTTGTCCGGGTTTGCGACATGCGACCCCGGCCGACCAACGAGCACCAGATGCCTCCCCGTCAACCTGTCACGGTCCATGCGTGGTCACGAGGTGTCCTTGGCACTGCTGAGTCGGTGGTGGCCTTTGCAGCGATATGGTGTCGGGACTGATATTGTCGACGCCTGGCTCGTGGGCTCCGGCGTCGGGGGAACCCGTGTTGCTTTGGCCCATCACACCACGCGGCGGACAACTCGACAATGGCCATGCCACGTACAATCGCCCACTAGTGTACTGTAAAGTGACGTTGTGTGCACAGGCACGTGAATGTGTGCCCGCGGACACAGCAATGCGGTGGTCTATGGACTTGGATGCATCACGTTCGCCAGGGACCTGGAAGGGAAGTTGGTCTGGTGGGCGCATGACGTCTGGCAAGCTTGGTGTAGGTGGAACTTGAACAATTTCTTGCATGGTGTGATGTGGGCATCCAGTTGTGCGGTGCCAACGCAACCCCTTTGACGAACGAGATCCATTCGTGGCCACCTCTCCGCCCGCGGAGGCCAGTGCTGCAGGGGAGTGCATGTCAAGAGTTGGCGTTGTACTGTTCCGATTTTGCCGTGAACGAGGAAGTCTCATGTCCCGAGGCATGGAACTCACCTGTCCTTCCATATCGTGGCATCACTTGACGCCAAACAATCTCTCTCCGAGACCTTCACTTGAACATGTGCGATGGGCACGTGGACATGTCGAAGTGGAAGCAAACACGTTTTGTGCAGCTGATAGCGCGCGCCCCGAAGTTCCGATATCACATAACATTTGTGGACGTGATGACGTCCCGAGCCTTCGTGTCATGATCGTGTAGGACCGCTCGAATATACCGAGTACGTTTCGCGGCCACGTCTTTCCTCCTAAAGCAATGCGTGATCGGTCCTCCGAGCCTCCTGGTTCGCGAATGGCTCTTGCACTTGGCAGGTAGTAATCGGCCGGGGTGTCCGAATGAGCTCCTTGTCACCGAGGCACGGCGAAGGCACGCCACAGGCGGAGACGCACCGATGTGTTCCAACGATCAGCCTCGTCTCGATCCAACGAATTCTTGCTTTCCACATTCCAATCGTCAGCATTGACGGGGACACTCCGTCAGGTCGAGTCTCGGGTCAAACAAATGCCAAGCTCGTGTTACATTTGGTACCAAACTCCTTGTCGCTGCCAAACTCGTTCGCCAAACGTGAGCCAGTCGAGGCGGCATGGGGGAGTGTGAGATCTCCTGTGGCAAACGAGTTGGATCGACTATGTGCATGGAAGTGTATTGCTAGATCGCCCCCATCATCGCGACGCCAACTTGCAATAACGCGACAAAAACCAACCACGCGGTCCCCTCGATGCAACGACTTCGACAGCTGGCTGCCCAGTGTGGACGGGCTGTCGCGAAGGAGAATTTTCGTGTTTTTCTGCCTCGTCTAAGCTGTCGACTAGGACAACTTGTCGCCGTCTGAACCAATTGTGCTTCGTGGATTGAAGTCGCGGGCTCCACGCGACCCGCCGGTCGAGCGGCACCACGAGCACTTGCGTGAGCTCCATCGACCCGAACTTCTCCTGTGCGAGCTGCGCCTGAGAGAGCAGCATCGGTTCGAAAGCCACGTGCCCAAGCCTGACCTGTCGTGAAACACGTCACACCAAAGGACGCGCCAGTTGCGAAAGCCGTCAAGCACGGCAACGCGAAACGCGTCGTCCCCAGCAAGAACCGAGCAGTTCACCAACAACGCCCCGTTCTCCCCAGATCGACGTCCATGGACAAGACTCCAAAATCGTACAACTCCAAGCTGTATGGTGTCCATTCCAAGTCGAATTTGTTCAACTCCAAGTCCATCCGTTCCAAGACTCTCGACATCGAAGGCACTCAAGTCCACGTCTCTCTCAACTCCACACCTGCCCATCGCTGAACTCGACATCCAGAGGAACAAAGCTCGAAGCACTCAACTCGACATTTCTCAACGCCCCATCTAGCCAAATTTCTAGACGTTGGAACGTCCACGTCACAGCCAAAACCGGTGACGAGCCGTCAACAACTCCAAAGCCTTCGACCACCAAAAACCCGTTGGCCTTTAAGCCATCCAACACTAAAAAGCCGTTCACGACAAAGCCATTCACGTTCACGACCGCCTTCGATCACCATGATTGCCTTCGACTGACAAGACGCCGTCAACAACGAAAAACCCCGTGACCACGACACTGTCGTCGAACACCAAGACGCTGTCCACCACCAAGATATCATATACAAGTGCAACGCGTTCGACTACAAGGATGCCTATCCACAAGTACAGGACCACCTTTGACCACCAAAAAAGCCTTCGACAACAAGGATATTATCCACAAGGAAACAGTCCACAATCGCCGCGAAGCCTTGGCCATGACGACGCCATCCACCACGATGAAACCTTCTCTGATGCGCTCGACCAAGGAACCTTTTCACCTAAACGGCCCCTACCAAGAAGCCTGTCACGAAAAAGCTCTCACAACCAAGACTCTCTTGACCGAACAAACCTCAACCACGATCTCGACGATTCAGAAGGTTGTCAAGTGACTAGGAAGTACTTGACTACTCGGAGGAGACCGATGACGTTGAAGAAACGGAGGGCGCCGAAGACGTGGAAACGACAAAGGGCAAGTTGACTCGAAAGGGGGTGGGTCATCGACGCAGCTTTAAGCGAGTGTCCGGTTTCCTTCGATGCAGGATGTACTCAAACAATCAGAAGAACCGCAATGATTGTCGACTTCCGTCTGCCATGGCCCTCACTCGACTGCCGTCGGTAGTTGCTGTATTGCCTCTTCTTCTTCGCACTGGCAACAGTTCTCTGCTCACGTTTCACGTGCCTGGTGTGCATGCACCAAGGCATGTCGCGTGGTGCTATTAATATTGGGCGAAAAGCACGTGCTGGAAGGAAGGGATGGTCAAAACAGCTCAACTATTTCGACGGACGAGCGCGGAAGCAGGTCGACGATGCTGAGTCGGCTGCGAGTCGTGGGCAGGTTGGGCAAGACGACGTCTAGCGTATCCCTTACCAGACGCCGTGTGTCCATCAAGTCGGCGGATGAATTCTTCCTACCGAACCTCCATTCTCCTCCATCAACCAAGCACTCGACTGGACTCCACGACCGTATGCGCGACGACGCCCTGGACGAAACAGCTTTGTATGAGCGTGATATCGAGCTCCTAGACCATGGTACACACCTGTAGAACGAATATGTCGCTGTACTGATGATACGTCGGTAGAACTGGAGTCCTTGCTCGGCCCTCTGCACGACAAAACAGAGACCGACGACGACAAACTGCCAGTCACTCCACCACCTGCCCGCTTCAAACAGTATCAATCTCCCTCTCCTCCCATCAGCCACGCTTTACATCACGACCAAACCACGCCTGCTCCAGCGGCAACTCGCACGTGCACGCTGTCCCATCCACGTGTGGTGATTTTAAACGGCCCATGCTCACTGGTTGGAGGTGTCGCAATGCAGTATGTCGCAGTCCGATTCCAACCTCTCTGACCGCGCCCCGCAGACGCCCATGGGCTTCACTTCAGCTTGAGCTTGAGTACCTTTCATCCACAGCAGGGATCCTGCTGGAGTGTCAATCGTCCAACCACGAAGGTGTCATCATCGACTTTCTCCTTAACACATCGACTCACACGGTTGTCATCTTCAACTGTGGTGGTACCGTTTGAAATTGCCCATTTTGAAGAAGCAACTGCCATGACACGAGAAATAGATTTACTGGCCGCTTATCCAGGCATTCAAAAAGCCCTCGACCTCACCCCAGCGAAGCAAGTGATTCTCTTAAACGACCGCCCCTACGTTGGAACTCCAGGCGCTCATGTTCGTCAGCTAACTGGTAATAATTCTATCGCCTTGTTCGTGATCACACTTAACTGGTCCTAGGGTTCGGCGCCGACGGGTACAAGCTGGCCCTGCTCGCAACCAAGGAGGCTTGGTGATGGTAGCCACGCCGCGTCGACGGATATTAGCCGATGACGCTATCGAGCCGTCGAGCGCTGATGTTGCAAATTGAAATATCTACATCGAAGCAATCGGGATCTTGAAGGGATGGGTTGACTTTGATCTTGGCCATGTTTAGAACGACATGTTCTTGTGCTCCAACACTGTTGTTTCATTGAAAACGAGATGTTTCTGGCCAAGGAGGGACGTGACGACTTTAAACTTTGCCCGGATCAGTTGCAAGTCCGTCAGCATCTTCTCGTCCAAGCTGTTCTGTTTGGTGCCTTTTCAGAATACACTCCATCGCATGCGAGTTGCACAAACCTCCAATTTGTACACCTCGATCAACGACCCCAACGCCATGATCGACTTCTCCGTTCTACATTCACACGTGATTCAACGTTGGCGACATACTTGCAAGATGACAGGTACCTCGTTGGGAGCTGCTCTGTCTTCGTCTTGAGCATTTCTCGCCACAGCAAGTAGCATCCATAGTAGAAACCGACTTCGGCGCCGATTTCATACCCTTTGACCTCTCTACGCAGCAATGGATCACCTGTCATCGTAGTCAACGGTGTCACACCCCAAGTCTTTGCCTTCTTCAAAGCCCAACCTTCGTCCTTCCAGCATGCCTTCTTCGTAGCCTTCCATGATGAATTGTTGCTCGATCGTGTCCACCGCGTCAAACTCGTCCATCGTTGCCGTGCGTCCCTTGATAAAATGGTGGGCAATCCGGATACCTGTCCAGTAAAACCTTTTAAATTCGATATAGGTTGTCTGAGGTGGCCTCCGATTGGTGGATTTTATCTGTGGCGTTGGTTGGTTTAGACGGGTGGACAGTGACTGGTTATTGAGGTTCACGGCGTCGCCGCCCGCATTACAAAAGGGAATCACCACCAGATCATCCAACATGGGTACGTGAATGGGGACAGCGTGGAGGACGTAGGGTTGGACATCTCAAGGGCGTGCCATGTAGTTCAGATCAAGGCTCATGAATTGCGCAACAAGACCAAGTCGGAACTTCTTGCCGAACTCGACGACTTGCAGCAAGAATTGGCTCAGGTATGATGCAGGAACGTAGGTGCAGGTGGCACGTTTAGGACACGAAACAGGCTGGCCGACGTGAGAGACACAGGAATGCTCAATGGTAGTGTACGTAGCTCCGTGTGGCCAAGGTGACCGGCGGCGCTGCCTCTAAGCTCGCCAAGATCAAGATTGTCCGACGATCGATCGCGCGTGTGTTGACCGTGTACAACCAAACCCAAAAGGCTCGCCTCCGTGAAAAGTTGGGCCAAGGCAAGCACGTTCCCGTGGATCTCCGCGAAAAGAAGACCCGCGCCATCCGCCGTGCATTGACCAAGGAAGAAAAGGCCATCAAGACCTTGAAGCAACAAAAGAAGGAAGCGTACTTCCCCAAGCGTCGATTCGCTGTTAAGGCTTAAATTGATTGCTGTCTGTGACAAGAGCGGTCGTCGGCATGTTGGCGGTCGAAGATGTGGTCAGACCAATACACTCGTCATTTTCCCTCACTTTTTGTTGTGTCCTCTCTGTACGATGCAGAAGCGCTATCCTTGTCTACAGTTTGGACCCACGAACACTGTACTTGCTCCACCTCGTCGATACCGACTACTCCACTCTGCGGTTTTCACACGGGGTCGATGACTGCCATGTGTCAAATCTCCTTGGCAATATATCAAAGTCAAATCCCGATGGAGTCAAGTTTGTAGATTACGAAGTTGCCGACAACACTTGCGCACACCCACATCTCACAGCCACACGTGCACTGCAAAAACCGCTGGGTGTGCTCGACGATGACATGTATCATCTCCTGCCTGGATTTTACAAGTACAATGGCCTCAAACCGCTCAAGTCGGCCGAGATCTTGATTCCCTTCTCTCCATCCTTTTACATCAGGTGGATCTTGCAGCTCTCTGTTCAACCGCCTTCCCCAAATGGGTCCCGTTAAACAAGTCGACACAAGCAATAAACCGTTCGCCGTCGATCCTCTCTGTGACTGTTCCTTGCACTGTCGCATGTGGATTAGGAAGTCGGCGAGAACACGTCATGAGTGTGCATACGAAAAACAGGATCGAGTTTTACAATGAGAGCTCGTTGATGCCCGTGCAGAGGGCGCGCTCGCCAGGTGGGGCGAGCGACTCGTTTCTGGTGCGACTTTGCCAGCATTTTCCAACGCGCAAGTTCCAACCCGTGCTGCATAAACGAGATGCCGTATCTGGTTTGAGTGTTCGCTTCGATAGCTCAAGCAGTAAGAAACGAGCTTGGCTTCAGAAGGCGTTGGTAAATATACATGTATTCACGGCGTCAAGGGATGGGTCGGCGCCAGTGGCATCGGAGGGATGATTGAGTACGCCATTTCTTCTTCTGCGGAATATGGAATCGCCAAACATCCATCGTTGAAATGGCGCAAGATGCGCTCGTGCTCATTGGTCATGGCGTCCTGGACTTTGCGTTCGAGGCACACGATGCCGACCGTGGCTTGCCATCTATGGCACTTGATGAAGTCGCGGTAGGCACACATTGCAATCTTTGCTGCTCGTTTGGTTGGAAACCCAAGGGATCCCGTCGAGATGGACGCGATGGCGATGCAGGTTGCGCCGACTCGACGAGCGCTTGCGAATGCGTTCAGATACGTCTTGTACAGGTTTTCTTCGCAATCAGGACGATGGGAAGATGGACCGACGCAATGGATCAAGTAATCGACCCCTGCATTAAATCCCGGCGTGACCACGGCGTCGGTGGTGCGTCGGCGGATGTCGTGGTATGGAGGGCTGCGGACGAGAGTCATCAATTCGGGACCAGCTCGGTTGAAAACTGCACCCGCTGCCCCAATTCCAAAGTTGATTAATGAAGAGTTCGTTGGAAACACCAGGCAATCCACGGATTTGTTGTCGATCGACGTGACACGGCCAATGTCCCCCGAGAAGACTTTCAACTTGGCAAACAATGCGTACTCCATCGACGTCTCCAAGAACTCGCGGCATGCTTGTGACAGTTCGTCAGCTTCCAGTGCAAATGATTCCGGCCATTGTGGATTCTGAAACACTTGAGGTAGTTCCGAAAACGGCGACATGGGCTCGAAGTTTCGTAGGCAGCCAAAGTGTAAGGTTGTGAGTTCTTTCCACATCGTTTGTTGCTGAGCGCCATACCCGCGGTGCTGGCGGCTAGCCAACAGCACAAAGCATAGCGTCTGTGCTGTGTGTACGTCGCACATCTCGAGGAGTTTGAAGCATATATCTGGGTTCCCGACGACCTCCATGAGATCTTGACGAAGGTCACGAAGTTGCGACTGGTGTTGCTCGAAATGCGAAAAGGCCAGAAATACTCTCAAGTGTTGGTCCGAGGAATATTTTTCCGGATGCGAAAACTACAACGACGTTGAAAAATAAAACGCGCCAAAATTGACGTCAAAACGAGGAAGGATGGCACGGGACCATGCGAATGCTGTCGGAACCGACACTGGGCATGGGCAGGCGCAACTACCTTCCAGCGCTCTCCCACGTGAAAGGAATGTGCTGAAGTGGAATAAACAACGCTATCGAGGACCACGATGCCTTGTGGACAAGGGCAGGACTGGCGAATGCTGGCAGTGCAGCAGGTCGGTACCTTCACAGGAATGAATTGTTGCATGTCCATGTGAGAGCATGCGCGATTGGCATGAGAGCGTGGACTTTGAACGTCTCTTGCTATCATATCTGTCGAGTCTTATGTCGGGTGGGTGATGTGGACCATCCATGGAGCGCTGGAGTGATGATGGATATGTTCCAACGACAGAAATCTATGCCCATCTTTGGGCAACATTAGATTGTAATGGACAGGGCAGCGGACAAGGTCGTGTGCATGACGACCCCATCTATAGAGATATGATTCTGTAGCGCCATTGCATCAAGAAGTGTTGTTGTGTCGTGAAGAGAACCGATTTCCTCATGCTACCACCATACGACTATCGACGAAGCTACGCTATCTCAACGAAGGACATCTCGTGTCGATGAGGGAGTTGCATGGTTGTCAAAGTGCATGAGCAGCGCGTTGTTATACACATCTCGTCCCGTGTCATCGCCTCGTGTTTGTGGGACCGATGGAGCCATCGATAGATATCCCACAGGTCCCTGGCGTACTTCCATCAGGTCGCTGCGTGGCCATGACGAGCTTCCTGTACACGTGCATGAAGCTGAACATAAATGAGCATCTCGCACGTCTCGCAGTGAGCGTTCATGGCAAACTTGGCCCCTCTACAATCGATGTTAAAAAGGTGTCGGTGTGCCGTGTGTTTTGCCGCTCTGCCATTTAACACACAATTTTTGATGTTTTTTAGATTCGACGGCATTGGAAAATATTTTTTTTCTGTGTATGACCCGTGGTTGGCGCAACAATGCAGGGTGTTGCCGCGCGAGGAGGGAGCAAAACCCAGACGAAGGTCTTGACGAAGCAGGCGGGCGAACGGTTAGGACTGTCCCTGATATCGCTCAATCCCGGGGCCTCGGGAAACATATACGTGTCGTCCATTGCACCCAACTCGACGGCATACCGGAAGAAAGTAGGCGTCGGTAGGTGTTCGTTGTTGCCGTTGGCAACCGACCGCTTTCCTACGGTGGTCATTCTAGGCTGGGAACTGCTGTACGTAAACGGCAAGAATGTTGAGAATATGACTGTGGACGACATCGCGCGGCTCGCAGGAGGAAGCTGTAAGGAGGTAAGGACCATTGTTACATGAACCAACGAACTCATCGATAGCAGGTCGAAATCATATTCGAAACGACCATGGCCGAGCGCTTTGTCAAGTGGAAAGCTGAAGCTGGTACAAAAGCGCCACCGGCGGCCACAGCGGGTGCGGCGACTGCAATCAAACCCAAGCCAAACGGCAATAGCGCGCACAAGACCGTTCCAAACCCGCACCCACCATCACAAGCGAAGCACAAGCCTGTGAAAGTTACAAAGCGTCCGGTCTCAAGCGCTTCTGCAGAGCAGAACGCACAAGGCCCGACTGCTGACGAAGACAGTGGCGGCGATGCACACAAAGTCGCGCCCAAGAAGAAGAAGGCGGCGGCTCAATCACACAACACGATCCAGCGATTTCTTCAGAGTTCGTTGCAAGTTGGGAATGTTCCTGTGTCTTGATCGTGACTGCGCGCAGGTAGCCGATCCTCCGACCCGTCGGGATCTCCGGCCGCCAATGTCCACCACCCGCTGCACGAGCTGACGCGCGCGCAGAAGTCGCGACAAGCGATGTTAGTCGACAAGTTGACGTATATGGGGTTTTCAAAGGCCGACGCGGTGCTGAGCTGCGAGAAGTGTGGGATCGACAATATTGACGCCAACATGCTCTGGCTTGTGTCGATGGTTGAGGAGCGCAGGTTTCAGAATGAGCTGAACAAGGCCCAGATCGAGTCGGAGCTGCAAAAGCGGAGCGAAGACTCGCAGCACAAACAAGTAGCGTGGCTCGGTCGATGCTCGCGGCTCTCAACTTTGCTCGTAGAAAGAGCAAGAAGTGCTGCAAACCGCATCGTCCCTGCGTGAGCTCTTCCCAGACGTACGATGGCATGGTGGCGTTCAATGAGCCTGACCGTACATGCTGTGCTCTTTGTAGTCTGTGGTGTTTGACCCCGTGACCCAAGCCCCGCTCGTGATCCACCTCATCGAGACGTTCCTCGTCAAGTTGAACGACACGGCGATTCCGCTGCGCCAGGCCGTTGTCGACATCCTCACGCAAGAAGCAAAGGCTCGACGGTGGTATCCCCGACCAGCGCAGTGCTACATCGCCAACCTTGTGCAGCGCGTCAACTCGACGATCAGTTCGCATCCACCGACCGCAGCTTGCTGCGCGCGGCGCGACGCGAACGAATGCCCGCTGGTCACGATCGTCCAGACGGAACTTGCGACGCTCAAGTCACATTTGTACATGTCGACGTCGAACGTCGGCGGGGTGCCCCTTGCGTTTTTAGAAGCCGACGACGAGAACCGATTTAGTTTAGCAGACGATGGGTTCGAAGTGTGCAACGTCGAAGATCTCGTATCCGACGACGACGAGTAAGACAAACAAAAACAGCACCAACTCGTGGCTGGGGTGCGAGAGCACTGAAATCGAATGAGAGCAGATTACTGGGGTGTGTTGAAAAATTTGATTACTCAGACCCGCCTCCCATGTAAATGCCTTCGCCGGCAAACCACAACGTCGCGTCGTCCAAAGACTGTCCTGCGTTTACTTCCTGCTGCCCGACGATCGGGCAGCGAGGGCAGTTGGACTGGTCGAACCGGACCGCGTGGTCTGTGCGGAGGTACTTGCCAGACACTACGTGGCGCAAACGTACAAGTTCGTCGCGGCCCCACGAAGGAACCCCAGTCGAGTGGCAGTCTTTGTCAGTGGCCTGGCATTGCTGGGCATTTTCGCATTCGACGATCCACGAATCACCACTGTCGCCATCCCCGGCTACGCCAAACCCACTCACTTCTGCGTATCGACCGTTTGACAAGGGCGATGAAAAGTCATGCGAGTGCAAGTTTCGTCGAGTGTTCACGTGCTCCAAACGAATCGTGGACCCACATCGAATCTTGGCACCTGCAGTCACACATGAGTCCAGCATCAACACGGTGATAGCCTGCAACGCGGAATATTCAGCATGAAGGCGTACCAAGGTCGCATGGAGAAGCCCCGTCGCCTTCCTTAACAAGCCAATAACTGTTAAAGTCGTCACGAGAACCATGGGCTGTCACCGATTGCTGCCCACTGCCAGTTCCGTAATTGACTTCATGTGAATGCAATCGAAATCGACTGTCTTCATGGACCAACTTGATCGTGCTACCGCAAGTGACGAATTCCAACCCAGGAGGGTAATGGAGCTCGGTGGACGCATCTTTCTTGCACGCATCTTCACACGTGAACGAGTGGTGCTCACAGCCCACTTCACGCACACGACGTCGATTTTCACACTCGCAGTACCCGGAACTCCCGTCAGGGATGGTGCTGCTGCATGCTGCATCGTACCAACTGTTGCGAGGACCATGGGGGTCGCAGCCCGAAGTCGCGCGCCACTTGACGCACCGAGGCTCTTCCGCAGCTGCATTGAGCGCCAGCAACATGTATTGGGTCGCAAGGAGCGTCACTGTGGAGACCCGCATGCGGTGTGTGTGTGGTTGGATTTCTTGCACTTGGCGAGTTCAATTCTGCAAAAATCCACCCTTTGAAATGTAGAACTTGCAAATATTTTAAACGTTGACCTCAATATACAAATATGTTAATTGAATTTATTTAAATGCATCAATAGGTTTGACCAATCAGCGTTCGCCATTTGTTGGCTCGGGATCGCATTGTGCAGTGTGACCATCTTGGCGGCGCCGTCCATAAAGGCATTCGTTTGGCTCGACTGTCGACGCCATTGCTGCCGGGAAGTCACGAGAGAGGGAGGAAATAGTGTATTATTAGGTTTTATTGTACGGCGTATTCTACATGTGCAGTGTGAATAAGGTAGTTCAGTGGATCGTGGAGGTCGACGGAGGTCTTGGCGTTAAGGGAAAATGGGTTTGAGGTGGCGTTTGCCAGCAGCGTAGCCAAGGCATATGACAGCTGCAGTGCCTGGAATCGCGCTCTCCATAAAATCAAACGTTTGGCTCGGCTTTGGCCTCCGTCGAGCCCAGAGTTGTTTGATTTCGGGCAGATAATGCCTCAACACGGGCGACAGGTTGTCGTCGTGTTCCCATAGACTTGGGTGTCGGAGGCTGATGTACAGACTGAGGCATATGGTGACATACATGGCCCCGGCATGGACTGCCCGCGAGAATGTCTCCATAGAGCAGTCTTCTTCCGCGTCACCGAGAGTGTTTGCCACGTCCGAGAAGATGTCGGGAAATGGAGAGTCCACGTATTGGCTGGGGAGAAGAGCCAAAATCGACTGCTCCAGTTGACTTGCCCACCTGTATCGCGTACCATAAATGATACATACAACAAGAGCCGATGCAAACATTGTACTCACTTTTCCCAGTTGACCTCGTCGCCTCGCTTGCACCTGTTAGAGAAAATCACGTTCACCATTGCTTGGACATCGTCCCGCGAGCTGTCTTCGCCCGCGTAGTATGCGCCAACATAATCGAAGTCATTTTCGGACGACGACATCTCTTGCCTGGATGCAGACTTGTCTTTTGCCTGTTGACCCGGCTGTTGCTTCTTCTCCATCTCTTCGACCGCTGCTGCAGTCAAGGGCTGCTCCGTTTTAACAAAGCGGCCTTTGACCCGTGGCCGTGCATTGGCCAGGGTTTTGCGCACTCGGTAGCGCACCTTTTTACGCGACAGACGCTACTCTCTCAGAGTGAGGATCGTGTTGTGGAATGGAAAGAGCGATGATGTATACCTTCGTGCGCTTCTCCATGTACTTGTCCAAGAGAACCCGACGGGACCGCGGCGAGTAAATGCCAATGCGTTTTGTGGGCACGGGCAGGAGGTTGTTGAGATTAAGTGCAGGCACGGGTTTGGATGGAGGGACGTTGTGAATTTTGGGCAAGCTAGAGATGAGCCTCGTGAGTTGCTTTCGATGTCGAGGACGAATTACGTCGTGGGGCTTGGATCGTGGTCCAAGGGTGCGTGCTTTGACGGTTTGGCGTTGCGAGTAAAGTTCATGAGGCGTGTGGCCGCCCCACCTTCGTGGTCAGAGCCTTCCGACGATTCGAACGACGACGTGTACACGTTGTCGGATTGCATGGATGAGTGTCTATGGAGATACGCGTCGGACGGATCATGCTGCTGCCAGTCCAATACGACGCTGAGAAAGAGTTCTTGAGACTTGAGCAGATCCAGGTCCTCCTGCTAGTCAAGGATCACTGTCAAGAGCATTCGGGCACGCAAGCGTCAAGCAAGCCGTTCACTACCTTGGTTGTATCTTTTCGCTTGGCTGGCGCAGCTTGCGGTGGGGACGCCACCCGCATGCCGTCAAATAGCATGCGACGCGGTCCGTCCAGCACACGGGTGCGTGTGGCGACGTTCATGCAGCACAGACAACGTTTCCAAAGTTTGGGACTTGACCTGCGCGTTGCAAATGAACCACGATGTTACACGCGGGCTGGCCGATGTGTGGCAGAGAACACAAATCAGAGGCCCCAACGACTGAACACTCGAGCCACTCTTGGAGAATGCCGTCTGACATCCTGCCGCCATTGGGTGGTGGGGATAGGGATCGCAGATCTTGTCCGAGCCTATCTATATCGTCGTCGACATGTTGAAATTCATTTTGCTGTTATCTGTCAGATGGTGCATTTGGGTTATTTTTACTTCGTGCGACCCGATCATTTATCCGTACAATTGGCAAGATGCCATCCGGATCATCACTGGTTACGTACTGACTTCCTGTCGGGCCATTGCTGCGTACTCGCACAACTGCGCCAACTACGTATTGCGCTACGTCATGCATGATGGCACTGGCCGTAGGGCACAATGCGATCATCAGAAGCCCGTTTTCACTCCTTTACTGCTCCGTGTTCGTTGTTGCAGACAGCTCAACATGTGGCTGTGTCGAGGCACATACGGCGTTGATGGAAGCTGGCATTACGCTCCATGGAGGGAAGTTAGGTGGTCGAGATAGCAGTCGGTGAGATGGGCACCGCAGAAGGCGACCGTATGCCCCTCAGTTGAGCACCCTTGGCAGAAAAAGGCGCACGGGTCGCGGCAGCTGTGGCAGTAGTGTGGTGTTTCATTTTCTTGGACAAGTTGGCGAATGCGATGCTTTTGTTTCGCTCGAAGAGGATGGACTGACGTGAAATCGATCACGAGGGTGTCCGCCTTCATTTCATGTTGCATGCACACCACCTGCCGCATCAACCACAAACGTCAGAAAAACCCGACCTTCTCACCCCAAAAGACCAGACTTTAGCCATATCGAGCAGCCGACGGGATGCCACAAACGTCCACCTATGCATCTCTCTTCAGTGACCATCGGAGAGAATTCGCCAAAGTCCTCACTCGCTCTTGTACTTGTCGGACGAATAAATAACTTTGGTGATACCGCTCTAAGGAAAAACGTCAGGATCGTCCTTCGAAACAGTCTCGACAATGCCTGAATGATGAGCTTGGCGCATTCGTTGCACGGAAAAAGGGCTACGTAAATCTACACGAAGCCATGGCGTTTCGGGAGTCCATTCGGACAAGCCTCGTTCCGACCGTGCACCCCTTCACACTGGTGGCGTTCTTGTTCAGGATAGCGTTCATTTCTGCATGGCACACGTACTACAAGCAGGGGTGTGGAGATGGTGCAGAGAAGATGGACGGCCGCCGTACGGGATACTTGGTGTCCAGCGGACAGTCGCCCTGTCGTGCCCACGGCAGCACGTCGTCGTCGCACCCGTTGGGGAACCCATTGTATCCGATGCCGACGATCTTCTTTTCAGCGTTGACGATGCTACATGGCGATGACAAAGACATGACCATTCTTTACCCATCACGAGGCATCGCGGCACCAGCAGCGCGTACCACGCTCCAACTTGAGTCGATGGATCTACATGCTCGTCGTCCGTTGACAGCGCGAACTCGATGGGGTTGTTCAACAGGGATGAGTTTACCTTTGGACCGCATGGAGCTGAGGAACGCCACCGACATAAAGTAGTCGTCCCACGACAGGTAGTCCCTTCGCTTGTGCACTTTGGTCGTACGAGCGTCTGGGTCACTGCTGCTGATGTCGCTGGGCTCGTTCATCGCCATCTCCATGTCTCGCTTCCGCTTGGCGGGCGTCGCCTCCGCCATGGCACCCACAACCTGTGATGCGTATCACAAGCACCACCCGCTTAAGTGCGACGTTCGTGCAAGTGCAATTTCACTCCAGCTGCTTGCACTGACATTATTGCCGTGATCCTTGTCAGCGACGGACGGCGGCAATGGCCACGCGATCACCGACAAAGCCAGGGTACCCCATTGGCAAGGTCGCCTTTATCGAAGGCTACAAGCACGTGAACGGTCGCCCTCACGGACCAAGACACCCAGCAGAAGATATCTTCAACTCGTCGCATCGACAAACCCAACACAGACTCATCGAACACTCCGGCCCTCCGCGTGGCGGCGCCGACACGGCCGTCGCGACGGCATCGGGCATCGACCCACGTCTGATACGCATCTACCATGAAATCGAATCATGTGTGCAAGGGATTCAAGCTATTCGACAGCACTTGGACACAATGGCTGTCGTCGACAACAAATTGGACGCGTAATTGGAACTTTTATTTGTACTCCTATGTAGTACTTGCTTGGGATGACAGCACGTTCTACCAAAGACAGTAAAACCATCGCACCCAGATGCCAATCTACTGTGATGCTTGGGCAAGGTTTGGTTTGCCTACCGATTTGAACTGTACAAGCTCCGCGCATCATCGTGGCGCCACACTCATTCGTCCGACAAACCTTGAGACATCCTTCTCTTGCACACAATTTTCCCGTACCAAGATAGCAACAACAATAACGCAACGATATCGTGGACATAACACCGCCATGTGCGATGTGCAACACGCAGGAGAAGAGGGCCGGCGACCACCTCCATATCCATTGGTTCGCTTGTAGGTGCATATGAGGTTGGACCGTTGCAATCCATGCAAGTACATTTCATTCGCAGGAAAATATCGGCTTCCCGATAGAAGACGATGGCAGGCCAGGCAAACACACCCGCTTGCCGCTCGAGGTCAATGCCTTGAGTTACGATTCGCACACGTCTCGAACCGAATGCTTCCTAAGAATGCCACGTGAGGACAGTCAAGCGTTTACAGTTAGCATGTGAGCTTTGCTCATAAACTCATATTTCAAGTGTGAGTGCTTCATGGGAAGTCAGGCCTTCTCAAAATAATCATCGTTTGTGTCCATCTCGATCGGCGGTGGGGGTACTGGCGCATGGGCGTTGAAGAGCAAGCTGACTCAAAATTCATATGTACCTTCGAAGAAATTTCAACATGGAGCACGCGCCCTCAAAGAGGCCTTCTGATGTCATCGTCGCCAGCAACAATCGCTCGATACGCACCATGCAAACAGCACTGCGGTATTCCATACACCTCCACAGACCGAACGTCTTTGTTGGGGTTCTGACAAACCCAACTGAATTCGCTCAACCTTAAACCCCTCGAGTAATGATGCGTCACACGTCGCCAGGTCGGCGACATCAGACTTTGGCTAGCTGATGTCATTGCAACGTCCGGTGGTGGAGGGTCAATCAGCAGGGCCTTTGTCTCGCGCGTCCTGCTGACCTAAGTCTACTTTCTACACAAGCAGCTACTACACATATACAGCAAGACACTCAAGGACACATGCCGCTGCCGACCATGCAGAAATCACACACTCGCCCCCTCCGATCGAGATGGAAAATGCTCTTCGCCATGTATTATCCGGATTTGCCTGTGAGAATACTTACTTCACATTGCCGAACAGCTGATTGGCTAAAATTAAATTCCTCGTATCTGATTGGATGTAATATTTCGCCTGATCCTTGTTGAAAATTACACCGCAAGCAGTTGTCACATCCAAGAACCAAATGCACAGCACACATGTGTGGACAGGGCACCCTGTCGACAAAGGGGTGCATCTGGCGTACCAAGCGCCTCGCTGGGTCTCGCCATACCGCGTCGTCAGGCAGGGTATGCACATCTTGGTGCTGCGTCGACCATGATGCTCTCAAGGCTGAGAAACAGCATGCCGTCAAGAGTTGCAAACGACCGCGAGCGAGCCGGCAAGGGTATCATCCACAAGTTTCGCTGTGTGGTTGCTCATGTCGTGCACTCGCTTACTAAACAGGCGACGATTCTTGGTTCCTGGGGAGGCTCGCGCATGTGTCGGAACAAATGGTCGTGTTGCTGGTGGAGTGCTTGAAACAGTTCACTTGGCGGTTCAGCCCGGTATCCATGTATGCCTGGGATCGACTCAGAATCATAAAGATGCAATGTCCACGACGCGATTTTCTGCGGAAACTGCGCGAAGTCCATCAATCACGTCAACTTGAACAGCTCGGGCGTGTGAGTGCAATCCGCAGCTTGGCTATCCATTGGGCACCGCAGCGTCCCGCATGGCGACCAAAGTACCTGCCGGGCCGATAATTGGTTCCAGCATCACGATCATTCAGCGGTGGGGAACTGGTTCTGTGGCATTCAACCAAGTGCGAATGGGACGGATCGAGCTTGTGGTCGCAGTGGATCGTATTTTGGCTTCTTCCGCGCTGTCAGCTACGCAGACGCAGCACTGGATTATCGTGGCCACTAAAGTCAGACTAACGAGGTGGCCGCAAGTCGTGCACGTCCCTTTAAAAGTCACGTCGCTGGTCCACCTGGAGTGCAGCCATGAGTGACCTTGACCGAGGCAGTCGTGGCGAGATGAGAGCAGTAGACAGCCCAGAGTTGCGTGTACATTTTCCTGCTGGAGTGCAGTGAGGCACTGACGACCGCGGGACATGAGCTTGACGAATTCATCCGAGTGACTCTCGGGGATGTCGATGGCGTTGTTGAACCACTGGACTTGGATCTGCTTCAAGTACACGTCGAATGGATCCTTCAACGGTGCTTGGTTCGATAGCGCAAAGCATGGCCATGACGGTGGCACCTCGCTTGGAAAATGTCATCCCAGGATGTACCAAGCGCGGAAGCTTTGCAAAAAGTAGCGATCATATCGATTCAACGGCAAAAAGCACCGAGTTGAAGCGTTGCGGGCGTTGAGAGGGTGACTTGAAGCAGGCGCGTCCGGCAGGAGCACAAGATGAGGCAAGACCGAAAATACATTCTTGATTGTCCTGAGGGTCGGCACATGCCAGAACGATAGCAAATCGTCACGTCCATCGAAGTAGTGCTGGCCTACATGACAGCAAGGCCATGGGGTCGCCTCGCTCGTGCTTCGTGGATCGTGCCCCCCGATGGATTGGCTCTGGTCGTACGAATTCGATCCACTTCTGAATCTGCGCTTTGTCATCGCCCGCCAGCGCCGGAACGCACGAGGACTGCTTCGTGGACAGCACTTCCAACCGCAGGTGTTGCTTCGCGTCGACACAAGGCACCACAGCGTGACCAGAGTGAGATAATACATGGCGACGACGTTTTTAGGATTGGAGTGGTGAGGCGAACGCTGAAGTTCCATCCAGTTGTCACCCGCGCAGTCATTCAGGTCGGACTGGATTGTGGCTGGCTCAGCTGCTACGTATTCGGAATGCGTAAATGTGTGGTGGGAAGGCGCATCCGTGTAGATAAGCACACAGACCGAGTGGCGAACTTGGACACCTCGATCGCGTCAGCCTTTTTCAACGTGAAATTGAGCGCAGTCTTGACAACGTCGAGGTAGCCACCGCCACCAAGTAGAGCTCGAGCTCTACTCACAATCACCTTGAGCTCGTCTTCCGTGTGACTTCAATTCCCACAACGAATGATGATGCCGTGCCTGGCATCGCAGTGGTCCATGTACGACACCACGTGAAGCTTCACGCGGCCGAGGCAGCTCAGCCTGGCGACGAGTCTTGCCCTTCAACGAAAGTATGCACGAGCCCATCGACCCGGTCGTGTTGCACACCAAGACCAAATCCATCGGTGGCACCGCAGCAGTCACATCCTTGTCCGTATGAGACTAAAAGGAAAATGACTTTGAGGACTGGCCATGGGAGTTTGCTCTTTTTGCATGTCACGTTCGTTGTCGACTCAACACCAACCGTGCGCTGTTGGCGGCTTGACGGCAAACCCGCGGTGGGAGCCAGACGCCCGGGACTGCTCTTCCACGCAACCATTTTCTTTGGTGACCGGTGTGTGGCCAAAGGGCCACTGGATGCCATGCATAGGAACGGAGTGAAAACTACACGTTCGTTGTGGTGTGAGTTGGAAACAATCCCACGACACTGACGCGCGAGAATATCGCAATGGCTACGCCCGAGCAAACCGTCCTGGGATGGGGTGAAAACCATTTTGATTCATGCACGATGACGCACGCTTGGTAAGCCCATCTATGGGCAATGACCGAGTGCAGCGGCGTCGGCGCTGCGACACCAAAGGAATGGCTGTCCGTGGTACTCTGGAGACCCAGGGGAAGGGTGGGGTAGAAAGCTGACCGGCTTCGTGCGAATTGGAGGAACGAGGATGATTTACATCAAGTAGTACAGCTCCACCGAGAGGCCGAATACATGCCGCTCACGCCTCAGGTCACTCTGCAGCTATCGTCAGCGGCAACGACATGCACTTGACATGCAATTCAACGATCAGGAGTTGGTTAGAATGTCCACTTTCTGCCCCTGTTCGACAACGCCACGTCGACACAAGTCGTGGAAGACTCCTTTCTCTTGGACAAGTAGGGCATCGGGGGAATCGCATTGGACGACACGGCCGTTTTCAAACACCATGATGCGGTCGCAGTGACGCACCGAGGACAGACGATGCGCGATGATGAGCACCGTCGAATGCTGGAACTCAGTGCGAATGATGTGTTGCAGACGGTCGTCGGTCGCCGCATCTGTAGCTGCAGTGGCTTCGTCCATGACGACAACTTTGGCTTGGCGGAGCAGCGCCCGAGCCAAGCACAGAATCTGACGCTCGCCCACACTATAGTTGGACCCGCCCTCATTCACAGACCACTCCAGCTTCTTCCCACCCACTGCCTCAAACCGGTGGGCCAGGTGCACTTTGCGCAAACTTGCCCACAGTCGGTCGTCTGTAAAGTCGTCGTTCGGATCCAAGTACATCCGCACCGTGCCTTGAAATAGGACTGGGCTCTGCGGAACGATGGCCATCCGACTTCGCACAGTGTGCATGCCAACTGAGGCAATGTCGACGCCATCGATTCGAATCACTCCGCTGGCCACGTTGTGCATGCGAAACAGCGCCATCGTCAAACTCGACTTGCCGGCTCCCGTGCGGCCAACAAGACCGACGTGTTCGCCCCCTGCAATGCGCACGGACACGTGCTTGAGTACCAACGGGTCGGTCGGCTTGTATCGAAAGCTCACGTTGTCAAACTCGATCTCACCGTGGACCGGCCACGTCGCGGCAACTGCACCCGGGACGACTCGCATCGGCTCACTCGGCAGAGCCGTGTACTCGACGACACGCTCGGCGGCGACCATTTGGGTTTCCAAGTTTGACCAGAGAAACACGACCATTTCGAGCACCGGAAAGATCTGGAAGGTGTAGCTCAGGACGAGCCCAACGATGCCCGGGCTCAAGTACATTCGCATGACGACCAGCGTCAACCCAAGGCCAAGCATCATGCACGCGCTGAAGAGCTGCGTGCGGAGGTGGAACCACTGGTTGGCCACCTGTGCTGTAAAGAACGCTTGATTGTTCCGATCGACATTGGCGTGATGGACAAGAACGAGGCGGTCGACGTGGTGTTGTCCATTCGCGCGGACAACGTGCGCGTCGTCAATGATTTCCGCCGTCAAGTTCAACAGCGGCGACTTGGTCACGGTATGGATGCGTTCGATGGCGCGGGCAGATTCGAGATAGAACAACGCCATCCGGTAGTAGTACACGAGAAGGGGGCAGATCAAGACCGCCATGCTCTTCATTGCCCACACAGTTGTGCCCACCGTGAAAGCACTCGATACGGCAAGCGTGAAGAAGGCGCCAATGAGGCTTGGAATCCGCGTGTCGATAGCTGTCAGGTCATTGCCGTATCGATTCAAGACTCGGCCGACGGGATTCGTGTCGAAGAAAGCCATGGGAGCGCGGAACAGCGCCGTCGTCATCCGGGAAAACAGCACGCGGGACGCAGACAGTCCAGCAGCCCAGGCCAGGAAGGCGCGACCAACCGCGACGCCGCATCCCGTCAGGACAAGAAGGCTATAGATGGTCAGGTAGTAGCTGGACTCGGCCAAGAATATCTCGGGAGTCACGTTCGCTGCCGTGTTGCTCCATTTTGATAGCCACAAATCACTCGCGACTTGCACCCCAGAGTACGATACGAGAAGCGAACCCAGGACGACCAGGACAGGCCAGCCACCACACGCTTGGCCATACGTCCAAACAACGGCTTTGCTGACCCGCCCTTTGCTTCGTGCTTCCTCAGCGATCAGCTTTCCAGTCAAAATTTGCTGTGCTTCGATATGGCCTTGATCAAAGTCATGGTGTAGCGGCGTGTCCGCAAGCGCAGCAACTGGCGATCGCAACGTGCCTTCGACGAGTGCTGCGGGAATCGAGGGATTCGATGTGCATTCGCGAGATGCCGGCGGCGGCGTCCGTGCTGGAACGGGTTCCTCTTCTGGCTCTAGATGCTTAGGTAACACGACGTTGTCAACAATAGTGCCGTTGTCCACAAGCTCCAGCGTCCGGTGCACGGCTGGCGACGCGATCCAGGCCGGGTTGTGTGTGACCAGGACAACCGTCTTGGTGGCGAGAAGCCCAAGAATGCACTTGGAGAAGACCTGGCGTTGTACTGCCGCATCCATGGCGGCCAACGGAGCGTCCAAGATGAAGATATCAGCGTCGGTGTAGCAAGCACGGGCCAAACTGATGCGCGCCTGCTGGCCACCCGACAAGTTGACACCTCTCTGTCCGATTTCCATGCGATCGCCAGCAGGAAGCGATGCAAAATCACTCGTCAGCGCACATGCCTCGATAACGCGGTTGTACTTGACACGGTCAAACGGCAAGCCGAACAAAATGTTGTCTCGGATCGTCATGTGCTGGATCCACGGCTGCTGCGGCACGTACGCGACGGCCCCACGAATGGCGACAGTCCCGCGTTGAGTGACCATCTCGCCAAGAAGGGCAGCACAAAGCGAGGACTTTCCTTGACTTACCGCGCCATGGAGCACCACCAATTCTCCACGGTCGATCGCGAGCGACACGTTGCGGAAGATGCTCGTCGACGCGTCCCAACCAAACGTGGCATCGGACACTTCAATTGAAGGGAGTGTGGAGATTTCAGGGGAAACGTTGTCAACGACGGGCTTGTCTTCTAATGTCAAGAATTCCTCCATGCGTTCGACGGCCACAAACGCTTGCATGAACGCAACGATGGCCTGGGGGAGGCCCATCATGGGGTACTTGAGCAGCGCGAAGAGTGACATGGCCGTGAAGATTTTACTCACGCTGAGTGTTTCCCGCATCACGATCGTGTACGTAAAGAAAGACACGAGCGTGGTGAGCACGGGGGTCGTGAACAGGAGCGCCGTCTGCGCAGCTTCCGCGAAGACATACGAGCCGAGTGTTTTCATTTCCGTCCTGCGGAGCGCGGTTATCTTGGCCTCGAGGCGTGCTTCCTCTGTTTGTAGCTTGACGATTTTCATGTTGCCGAAGATCTCAGCGACGGCCTTCATCCGGCCGTCTTTCTTGAGCATGTACGTTGCGAGAAGACGCCGTTGTAAGATCGTAATGCTGTGGTTCACCGCGAATGCTAGGGCCAGCGCGCCGGACCCGACGAACGCCGCCCATCCGATCACGTTGTACAACATAACGAGCGTCACGATGACTCGAACGGGAGCCGTCCACACTTGGTTCACCGTCGTCGCAAACGCAGTGATCCACTGCATGTCGGACGAAAACAAGTTGGCAATATCCCCGGCGGTCTTTTCCCGGCGCCGCGCCGCGTCCAGCCGCAGAGTCTTAAGAAACAGCATGTGCTGAAGAGCGGACGTGCATTGAAGGACCATGCGTTGCGTGATCAAGTCAGCATGAGCGGTCACGAACGCAGACAGGATTTTCGACGCCACGAGCATGGCAAGGGCCTGGATCACCACGACCATGTGGAAATCGGAGCCTTCGATGGCTTGAAGAATCGCCTTCACAGCCATCGGTCCCACGTACGTCATGGCGATGATCACGACTTGCATGGCGCCAACGAGGGCGACCGTCGCCCCATGGCACGACAAAAATGCGGACAGCACCTACCGCGAGGTAAGGAAGCACGTTTCGAATGCAGCACTCGCCGTGAAGCATTGGTTGGATGGTTCAAGGGGTCTTCGATGTCCAACTGGCGCAGACTGCCAAGATGCAAGAGCGGGCTCGCCCACTAAAACATAGCTTTGGAAAACACACTTGCTCGTTCCACGGGGGGCATTCGGTCAGGAACCCGCGAGTCGTCTTGCTTGGCCGCTGACGAAAACCTGGTCGATGGTGCCATGCTTGCTGCCAGTGACGCTGGAATCGGACAATGGCACTCTGTGCAACTTCAATTTCAACGAGTTGGCCGTTCCAACCAGGCGTTCAGCTGGGCAAAACATGGTCGAACGGCCAAGAGTGATTCCCATTCCGAGCTCCACCAGCCAGGCCCAGGTGGGGATGGAGGGAGCAATGTCCATCACGGGATGGTGGGACATTGAAATCCACGAGCAAGTAGTGTGAAGGCAGCACTCGGTAGATTGGCATGACGGCGGGCAGAAACGGGTAGACGCAGAAACAACCTGCAGGGAATTGTGGTCGACAGGCATGACAGCTAAAAATACAAGCCTTTTTTCCGATTACGGCGATTACCGTATTGGAGCATGACAAGACCATCGACGGACGAGCGCGCGGTGGTAATAGCCAAGTCACTGGCGTTTGGAGACTCCCCCACGCCTGCACGATCTGCACCAACTGCAGGGCCCCATAGGCAGCGGATTCGGCACGCCAAAGTTTGTCGAGGCAGAGTGGCATTCTCAGCGCCTGATCCCGAGGCCATTTCTCTGTCAAGCAATCATGCTCCCCCCAGTCGACAACGTCGGCCCAGACCCAAGTCCCCCCGAGTGGAGTCTTCGCTAATCTCCCTCCTGGAGACGACCTCGGCGCCGCAGGAGCGACCTCATCCTATTCATGTCACGATCGTAGACAACATTCGAGCTAGAAAGCGTACATCTGGGCTGCGAACGGCGCAAGCGGTCACCGCACAAAATGTACTTCGAGCCACGGGTATCATCGGCTGAACGTGTGTGGTGTAGGGTCTGTTGCCCGGCGACGAAGGAGCGTCAACCGGCGACCTAACATGCCGTGACCCACTCGAAGACAGCTTGAGCCCCCATGTTGAAGACACCCTGGCTCCTCTAGTGTCCCCGAACAACTCGATTTTCTATTCGCAAACCCAGCGGGCGACTTGGAGTGGCCAACCAAGTCCTGGATGCCGACGAAGTAGACAGCCCAGCACGACAACTCCCATGGACGTGTCCGACGCGGCGCTGTCGAGTTACTCGGGGGACGTTTCCGCACATCACGTAGTTGCTGAAATCGACACGATCAAGGCAATCTTGATTCGCGAGCAGTTGCTGGAGCGCATCGGTCGCGCCGCGGTCGTAATCGATCGAAGTGTGCTGGAGCTTCACGGACTCACAAAGCTACATCGGAGGAGGAGCTCGGGTAATACGACTAGTCGAAATGAAGACAACAACGACGGAGATGAGAGACCGTCGGCAAGCCAGAAGAAGGAGGCGGAAGGTCTCATCGCGACGTTGGAGAATCGAATCGCGGCGGCAACGAAGGACGTGCTGGAACTGGCACCCGACCTTCGGATGGCTACAGTCAAAGTCACGGACGCCATCGAACACTGGCGCCACGCCATCGACGACGATCTTACCCGGACGAATCGCCCCCACCACGTTCGGGAATTCGTCTTTCAACGGGCAAATTACCTCGAGAAAATGAGCCACGACATGCGAACCGCCTACGACGGAGTCGCCCTCTCGGCAATATTCAACGGTCCCCCGCACCCGTTCCTCCTGCCCCACGATCAAGTCGAAAACCTCCATGCATCTTTGGGGCTTCCCCGACTGCCCTCCCACGGCGCATCCACGGCCCATTCGACGACGTTTCTCACAACATCGGCGTTGGTTGCTGATCGACTCACGGACCTCGTGACGACCGTCCTGCACAAACGCCTGCCGTCTATCCAACAAAACAACCGCGCGGTCATTGCGTCGACCTTGACCGCAGACATCCGCCGCGCGACCAAAGCCATCTTCCACGAACACGATCGTGTACACTCGCCACCGTGCATCGAGCCCCCCGCATACGACCCGTTCGACATGATTCGTCAATACCCCGTACGTGATGCATCCAAACGTGCGTTGGCTCATCACGTTGACGATGCAGACGGTGGCTGATGCGTTTGAATCCATGTGCCGGGTCGCGCAAGACACTCTCGACGAAAATCGAGAAACGCTGCGGCGTCGACAGCAAGATACGACGCGTGCTCGAGCCCAAGTCTTTCGCAGCGCTCCCACGCCATTGATCATGAATACAGCAGTGGTCGATACGCTGGTGGCGACGAAACGAGCGGCGGAAACTCCGTCGATTGTCGCATCGAAACCAACGAGTTCGACAAGGTCCAAGAATCGTCTGGCAGGACAAGTACTTACACGAAAGAAATTCAGCCGAAGCGGAAACGATCCAGTTCTGCGCAGCGTGATGAAGATTCAGGCGCAGTTCCGGCGCCGCAAATCTCGACTCGAGATCCTGGTGTCGCTGAAAACGTTGTCCCGTCAACTGCATCAAGCTGCAACCAACATCCAAGTAAGCTGCGCCATCACGATCAAACGCATGCATCGACTGACTTGCCATCGTAGCGCATCTACCGTGGCCACCGTGCCAAAGCGATCGTCGGTCAAGTCCAGCTGTCTGTCTGGGCGGAAGCGCGGAGCATGGACTTCAACGCACGGCGGCTGCAACGGTGGGCTCGCAAACGTTGGTCGGAGCGAATGCAAGCGACCAAGAGGCAAGTGGCCGCGACGATTGTCGAGAAGCCGATCGCACCCAAGGGACCTAGCCAGACTGAACTGTATCGCGAAGCTGGTCGGCAGCGGCGCATGGAACGCGACCGGGCAGCTGCAGAAAGGCGTGTTCAAGCTGCGCTCTTGCTAGAGAAGCAGCGCCTCGGGTGCAGCGTGATTCAAGGGGCGTTCCGCCAGTACAACAAGCGAAAGACCATACGTATGCTGCAGGTCGCACGGCGCGCTGCCCGAGAGTTTAACGCGGCGACGCACATTCAGGCCTTCATCCGGTGCACCCTCGCGAAAATGTATGCGCGGCAGCTACGTGAACGGCGGCAGCTGGACACGGTCCACTACAGCTCGACACTCATCCAAGCGACATATCGTGGACACCGCGTTCGTCAGAGGATGTCGTTGGCAGCGGCACTAGCGGCTTCCAAGCATGCAGGATCCCCGACAAAAACGAAGCTGCCCGCGGTCGGTCTCAAGCCAGCAGTGCTCAAGCCACAACCCACTCGTCCGACTCGTCGACAGAGCACAGTGACAGTCCCGAAGCCCCTACAAAGCCCACGCGATCGCCTCCCCAGCCTTGTTCAGCCTGGTCCGAGGAGGCGCAAGTCGGGAGTGTCGTGGGAGGAGCTCAAGCTCAAGGAACCTCGCATTGGCGACCAGTTGTAGAACGAATGGATGTGACAAAGCATGCCAAGTTCTAATCTCCTCCTGACTCTGAGCATCACGGCAATGCGAAGCGTTTTTCAGTATGACATCGATATGCACTCTTCTTGCACCTTCGAGCAAATGGGGGAGCTAGACATGACGCCTTCTCTCCTGCTGCTGCCTACGGTAGAAGTGCCATGTTCGCCTTCGCAGAATAAAATGGAAAGTGCCAAGGTATGCTTGGTCGGGATGCAGCACCGAGAAACAACTCATATCAAGTGTATTACGCTTCATGAAATCATTCAGCGGAATTGTTGAATCATTGTTGTATCTCCAAGGGGCCTGGACATGGACAGCGTGGCGTCGCATCGGCACACGGCTCAAATTACGTGTATACCTTCGAAGAAATATCAGCATGGAGCGTGACTGGTAAACGAGCACGCCCTAAAAGAGGCCTTCTGAGGTCATCCTCGCCGACTCACGCTTCGCAACATCGCACTGTCCATGCTATATGGTCAAACCTTCCACTCCTCCGCCGCCACCGACGACGTCTCTCCCCAACAACTTGCGTCATCAGGGGAAACAGCTCGGCATAAACCTCTCGCATTGGTTTTGATCATGTGCGTTCGCCATAGGTCTCGCATCAGACTTGGCTAAGCAAACGTCATTGCAAACGCCAATGGCAGAAGGACCACCCTCGCCGAACACTTCACTCATCCCATCACTACAATCTACGCTACATTCTAAACATGCAAGAGGGGGAAGAACGAGAGAAGCGCGCGGCAAGGCGCAGTCACGGAATGGGACGTCAGCCAGGAGCACCTATGGAAAAATGAGCACGCCAGAATTTGGCGAATTTTTATCCGGACATTTGTACGGATAGAATGACATACGATTGGACGAAATCAACCAATAGAAGCACGGAATGCTGCACATGGAATCTTTCCTCATAAATTCGCATCTCAAGATGGAGCCTGCCGTGAAGCGCCTGACGGCCGCAGACATTGTACATGGCGTCCCAACGGGAGAAATGAATTTTGACCGAGCTCCTTAGACACAAGCAACGGGAGAGGAAGATCACCATCGTGTTGTGGAAATCGATCTTCGGGTGTTTTCAAGAGATTGACAGCCTCGACGCGTGCCCAAACCTGTGCAACTTCACATGTTCGAAGCTCACGTAGCTCAGCCAGAGCAATCATGATATTGCATAGTGATCAACATGCAATTGTAGTGATCAACACTCGATTGCAGCGAATATGCGGGTTGGAGCCGGTTGCCCACACACTGACACGGCTGTGCCTCGCCGACCAAGACTTGACCAAACTGGAAGGCCTGTGTCTTCCAAACTTGCGGCAGTTGCTCCTGCAAAACAACCGAATTCAAGTACTTGAGAACCTCGACGGGTAATATATATGGCTCCATCATTCAGGACAACTTTTCACGAGGGATGACAGCGTGCCCAAACTCCAAAAGCTTTGGCTCAGCGGCAACCATATCCAAGTGATCGAGAACCTCCAGTTCTGCACCGATCTTCGAGAACTGTGGCTGCAAGTCAGCGAGACAAGTCCACCCACCGCTTCAATCCGACCTTGTAGGACAATGCAATTGGGGCGATATCAGGCCTCGATCAACTCACAAACTTGCACAACTTGGCCTTGGCCAAGAATCGCATCGCTCATTTCGAAGAGCTTTCGGTGGGTTTTGCACGCTATGCTCCTTGTTCTTCATCGTTCCTGACTGCAGATCATACATCTGGCACTTGTAGAAGCTCGCGAGTCTGCCAAATTTGTGCAGCCTCTCTCTCTCGGACGACCACTACGGTTCGAATCCCATCACGAGTGAAAGCGGGTACAAGATCTTCGTGATCAACCAGCTCAAGCAAGTTGTTCGATGTTCCATCCATTGACCGATTCAAAGCACGAACGACGTAGGTTCGCATCTTAGACGGGCTAGAAATTCAGTCGAAAGACCAACGGTTCGCCGAAGACGAGTACATGAAACATGTAAGAATGCCACGATGACAGAAGCCCCATCCGACGACTTGTCCTCTTGGCAGGTCCTTGCCTTCAACGACAAAATCGACTTCATCCAGCGGAACCACGACCAGGAATTGCTGCGCATCGACTCGCGGCGGAATCGAAACAATACTCATGCCGACCTCCTCCAAGAGGTTCCATGACGTGAATAGACTTGTTCAACCCACCATGAACATCCATCATCGCAGGAACTGATGCATGCGTTTCGGGCGCTCGAAGATGTGGTGACGACCGGCCGCAAGAACATGGTGGACGAGCACACCCGCCACCAGGTCGTCCGCGCAAAGTACATGACTGCACTACAGAACAAACTCCAGAGCCTGCAGCAAGAGTACATTGCGCAGCTCGACATTGTAGCCGCACAAATCACTTCCGCTATGGAACGCCAAGTAGGATTGCCTTTTGTAAGTGTCGATCACATGGACGGCTAGGATGCACTCTTCGACCTGCTTGAGCTCCGCGCTATGGCGGAGGAAGAGCAGGCCACAGCCGTGGCTCAACTCCAGCCATTCACGTCGGCAACGTTTCAGCACGTGGCCGACTCCACAGCAGACTTTCGGTACATCGCGTCTCTGTTTATGGGACGCGAGTCAAGCAGCCATCGCATGGTTTGACAGCACATAAAAAGCTTATCGGTGCATGAAGCGTACTGTTGTAGACTGATGCTGTGGATTGGAAGATGCTGCAGCTGTACAAATGCCACACGACACTGCAGCTCGTATCGCCGGACGAAGAGTTGCCTGCGAAGGGGAGTCGCACAAGTGCGTCCCCGCCGGTGTTTCTTGCCGGTCCAGCCACCTCTGTCCACGCGTTCTTCACGGACAACGCGCTACCGCCGACGTCATGGCTAGCGTCGGACCCCAAAGTTGCCGCCACCGGACAATCTGGCCACTGCCACGTACTCGTTTGCCAACTCGACCCAGCCGTACAGGTTCATGAAGTGGATGGGGGCACATGGGACGAGCAAGTGATTGCACACACCGAGCGACACCCGGCCCTGTGGACGAAAGTACACCCTTTCAATTGAAGTCCAGCCCCTGCGCCTGACTCGTCGTTAGGTCCACATCCGCACACGACCCCATGGTCACGTCGATTCGTTCGTGTTCCTTCCGCCTGCCGCGCCGGCCTCGTCCTGCCCTTCCACTGTGGGCGTGATTCCTCAATACTATGCTGTTTGCGCTGCCACGCCGAGTTCGGTCGACGAAGCTGAGCTGCGTCAACTTTTGCAAGACGCTGCCAACCCACCATCGGTCATTCGTGGGGATGACAAGGCCACAGCTGACGCATTGCTCCATGAGTTGCACGCTAAGATGAAAAGGGAAGTCGAATCGTACCAGCGGCTGCTCTGGAACGACTTGCAGCCCGATCAAAAGCGCTTTCCCGAGGATGCTCAAACGCTGCAGCAAGCCGTGAGCAAGTTGCAAAGCCACATTCAGGACGAGCAAGACACACAGGTACACTGAGGTGCATACCAGCCGACAATGACAGGATCTCGTATAGACATCCATGCTGCGGCAATTAAACCTCCAGAAGCAGCGCAGGGGGCCGCCGCAACCTTAATACAGACTTGCATCTTAATCGCCTCCCTTCCTTCCCTTGTCAAGGATTGTCGAGACTTGGACGGTATCCGGATGTACCGGATACCCTCTTTTCCACTTCAACGGGTTCCCACAACAACTGGTGCATCTGACCGTGCTGTGCGACTTCCGCCATGGATACTGCGTCGTTCTTCGACGGCATCAAGCGTGAGACGAACGAACAAGTGCCACCAACGCCCCATATTCTCCCTGGTGCGACGAAAGTGCCTCGAGCTCCGCTGACCAAGTCGGACGTCGAGTTTGCGGAATACAAAGACGACGTGGCTGGTCCGGGCAACACGGGTGGGTACATTGCATTCGAGGAAATCGAGCAGTTCCGGCCGTATCAAGAAGCAGAAAAGTGCCCACTGCACAATCAGATCAGGATTGACCGCATGGTCCAAGAACTCCCGCGCGTGCTGGCGGAAAAGTCGTTCGAGCTCGGTGTATGCTACATGATCGACATTGTCAAAGAATTCAATCCCCGCCCGTTCACTCCCGTGCAATGGCGAGCGCTCAAAAGCAACCGAATTGCAAACAAGCGGTTGCTTGAATACACCCGCGTGGGTCTCAAACACCCCCAGGAGACCATAGTCGAGTATGTTGGTGTGTACTGCCACATGTTCTTCTCGCACCGACAACGCATGCCCCAATCGTACCTGAACATGCGGGTGGCCTTGGAAAACTTTGCCGAGCATCGAAGTACCCAACCACGTATGGATGGCCCTACCGTCGGGCACCTGGCGTGGGCATATCGGACCCATCAGGCGTACGTGCGGCCTCAGGTGCGTTTGATTCTACCGTGCCTCGATGCCATGCAGCTTATAAAACCCTTGGCAGGTCTCGCTTCCGATCGTTCCAGCCGACGTCAAGATGACGATGCCTCCCTCAAGCAGACACGACGTAGACCAGAAAGTGCCCATGCCGACATTAAAGCGGCAGCGTGAGGATTCGGCGGAGCGGCCACGAAAGCGCAGTCGATCGCATGATCGTAATGCAAGATCGTGGACGAACCGGTCGGAAGAACGAAATTCAAACACCTCGCATTCGGCGCGACTTGGGTCGACGTCGATGCGGTTTGACAGGTTGCAAACCAAAGAACGAATGTCGCGAGATGATCATGTGCGATCTCGATCGCGTGAGCGGGCTGAAAACGTGCGGCCAGCTCGACGTCGGTCAAGGCCACGCAAACGACTCAGCGGCTGTCGAGAACCAGACGACAACCGGCGATCAGCGGAGCGAGAAGGGCACGGACCTGAAGCATCTCACACCCAACGACACAATTTGCTGCCGGCGAGAAATGATGGGGCGAAATTCATCCCGGACCAAGGTAGTCAGCAAACACTTGACAAGTCTTCGCAAGACAAACGGTCGTGTGCTTCTACCCGTCAACGACCCCACGGGGAAGCAGTCGAGCCCGACGACAGAAGTGCATGTCCTGAAAACATGGCACCGACAAGTTTTTTGTCGCCGCCAGCAACACAGATCGAACGACCTGTCGTCAATGTGGTGCACGCATCTCCCAGTCCGAGCATTCCACTCCAACTCCCTGCGCTAGACATGCGACCGAGCCCCGTCGCTGACGTGGCGTACGCATTCACTGTCGAGTCGCTAAACATCGACGCCGTGACAACACCAATTCAATATGCAGCCCCTATCCACGACCATATCACGCCGCCCACTCAAGGATCACAGATGCGGACGCCATTGTCTTTGCCCAGCACAACAAGCGCAATGATGCTGTCCAAAGCGACCGTCAACGCACAACCACCCGTCCAGTCTTGCGACACAGCCGTTGCGTCCACTGCGACTTTGAAAGTAGACTTCAAACTGGAGCCCATGCAATCGCGTAAAATCGCTCGACTTCCAACCGACGCTGCCGCAACAGTGTGTTTGGAAGACTCTGCAGCACCCATGCAAACGGCGTCAAGTGAATGGAGTGTGAAAAAAGAACCAGTGGCCACCGTGGTCGAGGCGACTCGTTCGAAAAGAGCTATCCCTGCCGCCGCCGCCTCACAAGCATCTCCATTGCAGACGTCTGAACAAGGTGTTCCAGAGGTGAAGATAAAGGTCGAGCCGGGAGTATGTCTTGACGACACGTCGAGTACAACTCGTATGGAGGAACGAGCTGCGGATGAGCGATCATTGCTCGAACTCACCCATGTGCGGGGTGATCCTATCGATTTCCCAGTTGTTGGACCAGACGCAAACGCTTCAATCCCTTCTACAAATGCAACTGCTGTCTCTGTTGGCATGGCATTTCCCCCATTGGACGCCAAAAACTTGACTAGAGAAGTCGACGACCTTCGCGAATGGCTGAGCCAATGGCAGGCATTGCAAGGCGGGCAATTCGAGGACTCGACTAGCGTGACCACTGCTGGCGCATATCGGGAGCTCATTGCGACGTTGAATGCCAAGGTTACGGCGCTTCATCGGCATGGGTTCGAGTTCAGTCAGGTACGGCAGGACCACACAACCAACCCCTCCCGAAGCTATTTCATTTCTCCTGCGTAGGCATCAATGGCGCACATTCCCACAAGTCTACGTAATTTCATGGGAAGTGTGGCGTGGGCCCAGGGGCCCGGTTGCACTCCATGGCCAGCGGTGTGGTTTGGAGCCGACATGGTGTACCTGTTTGCGCTACATGAGTGGTTGGTGTTGTCATCGAGTGTGAAGTGCTAAATTCTTGCTCAGGCACACGGTCCAACCAGACACTGTTCGCGAATGGTCGGGCCCTCACTTCGACGCGTGTGCCGCTGGTCCAGTCAAACCAGCGCTGAGAAAATCTTTCGACGACGCCATGACGGAAGCTGTGGTAAGAGCTCCATGACGCCGTGAGAGAAACCCAATGGCTCGTGGCGCGTAGGACTTTATTGCTTCGACCCAACCATTGGAAGTGTAGCAGGCACACGATGGAGACATATTCCTCATGGCTAGATTCTGGCACATTGTTCGGCTTGTGCAGCATTTCGGCAATCAGATGTCCTTTGAAGCGCAGTAATTATGAGCATGACCTGTTGTATTCAAAAGCTATTGAATGCTGCACGAAGACGGATGGCTCTCAGCGACGGAGCGACCAGCGCAAAATGATTTTCGCCGTTGAATAATCCGTTTTGCCGGCGATGCCATACCACGCAACATGCGACGCCATGGACTTGGTCGCCCTGCACGTTTCTCGCCGTCCTCCTCAACAGGTTTGCTGTCCTTTGTACTCCCATACAGGTCGTCGATCTCGCCTGTTGGAAGCATGCGCCGTCGCATCCACTGGACGATGTCGACGTGGTCGTTCGCCATGGCACTGGCGAGCGCATCGTGCAGCTGATTCTTATGACTATACGTCCTCCCGTTCCGGAGAAACAGGGCATAAAGCCATTGCAAGACGGCGAATTGCCCTGCGGCAGCTGCAACGACGATGGCGTTTTCAAACCATTGCGACCTTGCCCTGTGACCCAACGCAAGCCATTGCAACACCTCGAGGTGACCGTGGCGGGAAGCGCCATAAACGCCTTCTGCTGTGCATGTAGCCCCGCAGTGGAAGTATAACCATGTCAGCACGTCCAAATGGTTGTTGGTGGCACTGACGTCCATCGCCCAAGGCGAACACGTTGTAGCTTCACCGAGCACACTGCGGACCAACTGGATGACGTGCAAGTGGCCTTGGCAAGCTGCCCAGTCCACCAAGTTCGCGTCGGAGCACTTGTGGGCAGTGTCTTCCAGCAGGATTTGGACGGCTTGGAGATGGCCGACGTGGGCCGCGTAGGCAGCGAACACCACGTGGCGGTGCCTGTCGGTAGATCGAATGAACGCTCGCATGCGGGATCGCGTAAAGTTGGCGAGCCATGGTGAAACGAGAGAATCCAACGCGTCCATGGTGTTCGTCGATGGAAGCGGGGGCGCTGTCAATGTAAAGTACCCGAGTTGTCGGAGGGGATGGTACTCATGGTAGACACCGCTTTGAAAGTCAAACACAACGAGTAAGATGTCCATCAAGGTGAGGACGTCGAACGCGCCACGCGTTGGCAGCCGACGTCGAGGTTTCGTGCACTCTGCGCGATTGGGCCGTCGCTGGAGGTAGTGCGTCTTGTCCGTGTATTGCCTTGGCGCAAAGCACGACGGTGCCATGTTGACAACTGACCGACATGGCATGGCGTTGTGAATTTGAATCATCGCCCTAGCCGTTCGATGAAACCTTGAACGAGGTGACATATCTGGCGTCACCGAAATCGAACGTCTCCATCACCCACCGTGTCCCCGTACCTATCAACGAACGATTCTGCCATCTTGATTTGAATTGGAGCTCGTGGCATGCCAACGCTTGCGGATGAACATGTCCGGGAGAGCGCCGCGTTCGGTGTCGTCGCCACCGATGCAGCTCAAAACCATTCCAGTTGGAGTTGAGCGGCGATACCTTGATTCGACAACTACTAGACTAATTCTTGTGTGACGCTGCAGAACGCGAACGCCCCCCCGCAGCGCTAGAGTCGGTCGGTCTCTCTGTCGATATTGTTTAACCGAAACGTAGGAATTCATTACCACGCCGTGACCAACGTGTTGGTTGTTGGTATCAGCCATCCACTGCTCACCCAAGTTCGGAAGAAACAGCAGCCCGAATCGCCAGTGACTGGCTTGTTTACATTCGCTAGCACGACCACTTGGCTGCATGAACGAGAACACTGCTGCGACACAAACACCCTTACCAAGCAGACAGAGCAAGGCGCTGCATGCACAGTGCCGAAAGCTTTGCTGCAGTCGCTTCGGAATCACTTGGATGTGTGTCTCCGGTGGCGTACACATTGCCAACGTGTTGTACAACGTCACCATAGCCACGACGCACACTTGTGGTTTTACAAGTGCGCGATGGAGCGGAACCCAATGGCCCGACTTCAAACGCATTATGCAGAAGTGAATAGCTCTCTTTATCAACACAGTGCGATGGGGAATGAGCCTTGCAAAGCACCCCAGTGTTGCAGACAAGTCAAGGCCGTCCAGGCATGACGTGGAAGCCAAATCTGCGTTGGCATTTAGCTCATCGACGGACGGAAAGCGACGAGCAGCGGAGACTCCCTCGAGCGCAGGGTTCGCCGCCGAGTCGCCACGTAAAATTCCAAGGGACACAGCCTCGACAGACGTCCAGGCGTTTTAAAATTTGAAATGCTATACAAACATCAAGTACATGTTGGAAAGAATGCTCGGTTGCAACTGGAATGGAATTATGGCATGCGTTATATGGCCGAACCAGTAAAGACCGTATTATCTCGAGTCGTTCAAACTGTTTGATTGGCTTTTCATGTGACCTATACGTTGGGTTTACTCTGCGTAAAATAAAAAACCGCTTTTGGCAGGATGTGCCAATTTAACGTGGCTGGCGAATGGGAATCCATCATCGTCTCGCCAACGATCAAGCAAGATGGTCCTTCCAGCATATAACACCATTGCGTGGGGGCTGCTCAAGGGTTACCCCTGGTGGCCGGTGTATGTATTTGACCCAAAGAAGCTCCGTCCAGATCTGTATCATCTCGGTGGGTCCCAGCGTTGCATCTTGGAACCCATCTCGTCATGGTGGTGACTAGGCTCGGCACACCAGCAGATCTTGGAACAGGCCAAGGCAGAGCCGCACAAATGGCGCATCGTGTACTACTTTGCGTCATACGACTTGTAAGATAGATGGCGGTAGCGTTGTGTTCTGATTTAGCGTGTAGTGGCTTGCATTCGTCGGCGCAGCTCAAAACGTGGGGCGGCAAGGACCACGAAACTTTCAAGGCGGGGTATCCCGCGACGTCGTGCATTGAACCCAAGGTGGTGGAACAGTTTTTGAACGCATTGCGAGAAGTGGAGGTACATGCCACTGTCGTACCGCACCCGCAGTTCCTCGCTCATGTGCATTCGTGCAGGACTACTTGTCAACAGACCCAAGCGAGCGCACGCTTCCATATATCGACCCATCCGAACTGGATTCAAGCCTGAGTCCACCTCGTCCAGACGTCATCGACTTGGCTGACTCTGACGACGACAGTCCCTCGGTCCCAACTAATCCGACCCTCTTTCAAAGTCCCGTCGTACCGCGTTTACCTGCTCAGACGAGTGACGACGTGGTGTCGAGTGTCCCGTATAACTCATTGGCGTGGGCACGCCCTCAAGGGCTTCCTTGGTGGCCCGTCTACGTCTGTGACCCCTCACAACTCCGCGAAGATTTGCATCACTTGGGTGTGTTGAGCTCGCCAATGTTCAGCCCTTTGTTGATGTCGTTGGGGTCGATATAGGTCGCAACCACGTTCCCCTTCTCACACGCGCCAGAAACGAGCCGCACGAGAATTGTTTGGTGTATTACTTTGGCCGCTACATGTTGTACGCTCTTTGGTTGAGTCATGGAATGCCTCAGGCGGGTGGATGGCTTGTAGTGGACTGCTGAAAACAAAGGTTAAACCGTGGAATTGCTCCGAACACAGCGTGTATGAGAACGGGCACCCAAAGGAAACTTTTCACAAGCGCGTGGAGCTCGTCGACGAGTTTGCGATCGCGTTGGCCGAAGCCAAGGTAAGTGTGGTGAGGACCAAGATGGAAGTGGATGGTGTTGTGTGAACGTGCAGGCGTGCTTTCCAAGCAATGGACGATCGGGTCCCACGATTCCGTATTTGGAGGCGTCCGACTTGAAGAAATCGCTTCCTGCCCCGCCGACTTTGGTGGTCCCCGCCTTGTCGCTGGGATGGACATCGAAGGACGGCTTCCCGTGGCTTCCAGTGTACGTGTTGGACCCAAGCACGGTCAACCCGGTCTTGAATCACTTAGGTAAAAATCATTTTTCATCCAGAACACGGTGGGAGTAACTCAACCCGGTTTGAAACAGGCAACAAGCACGCGCAGGGGCTTCAAGATGCGCTCGCCAACCCGGACGAGCTACGTCTAGTATACATCTTTGGGTGCCACGAAATGTAAGTGTCGAGCCGAATCACTGTTGACTGACAGGAAGCATTGCAGCATCTCGCGGCCAATCGGTGCCGTAAAGCCCTGGCAAGGTGCTCAACATGCGAATTTCGTAAGGGGGTTCCCGAAGTCAGTAAAAAACGCCGCGGCATTGGATACACTCGCGAAAGCGCTTGAGGAAGCCAAGGTAGATCAACTCACGAACGCAATTTAGACGTGATGACCGTAGCGTGTGCATGTAGAATTTTATCAAGGCAAGCAAAGACTCCCGACGCCTGCCGTTTATGAACAAAGAAGACATCCAGTTTCGTCGACAGGACGGTCCGTCGGCAAGTAAAGCAGCTCGGACCTCTGTCAACCCCAAGGCTGCGCCCCAGACGCCGTCAAAGAAAGGCATCGGAGGCAGTCCAACGCAAGCTAAAAAGAAAAAGACAGCGCAAGCACGCTCAAAGTATGCCGGAAGCCTCAGCTGGATCAAACCAATCAATCAACCGTGGTGGCCCGTGTATGTTTGCGACACACAAACCTTCCAGCCCAACTTGCACTTTTTGGGTACAACCTCCCTCCAAGTTTGATGGTCCGACATTTGATGTAGGCAAGAGTCATGCACCGCTCTTGGCCAAGGCAAAGGCCAACATGACGCAGCACCGTTTGATCTATTACTTGGGAAGACATGTGTTGTACGTAATTTCTTTTATCGTCTCGAGCCCGGACATGACTGGAATACGGTGCGGTAGTGGACTACACAAGGCGTCCGAACTCCAGCCGTGGGATTGCGCACACCAGTCGAATTATCTAAACGCGCCGCCGATTCCAGGCAATTCGGACGAAGAATCCGCCGAGTTTACCTCTGCAATCTCGGAAGCGCTGGTGAGTGCTGTGGTGTGAGGCTCTGCTGGCAACAGTCAATGGATTCTGTAGCGCTTTGCCGAATGCGGCAAACTGGAATATATAACACCGAATGACGTGGACCCTACCGTGCCATCTCCAGACAAACAAGTGATTCCGTACAACTCGCTGGCGTGGGTCCTTCGGGAAGGGTTTCCTTGGATGCCGGTGTACGTGTTCGACCCCAACCTTCTGAAGCCGTCGCTAGCCAACTTGGGTACTTGCCTTCCGTGCAATCAAATATGAACTAGACGCGGCTTGGATTCTATGGTAGGAAATGGCCACGCACCACTCATGGAAAATGCGATCAAGCGACCGACTTTGTTTCGACTGGTGTACTACTTTGGCACGCACGAACTGTAAGTCCCAGTCGTTGTCACTACGAATTTGACGTCGCGGGTGTGCCGTCAATTAGCGGCTTGCACAGATCAAAGGGGGTGTTTCGTTCGTGGCTTGGCCCCGACCATGACAACCTGGTTAAAGGCCTGCCCCGTTCCATGTTTGTGAACAAGCATGGTCGCGAATGGCGCTCCAAGAATCCGTTTATGTTCACTATTTTCGAGACTGCCATGAACGAAGTTGCAGTAAAACCTTTCATGCGTACACTCAAAATCAACTTTTAACTTTGGGATGGCTGTAGGATTTTGTGGCCCAAGCACCATCGAATCGATTGCTTCCCCACCTCGTTCCATCTGATCTGACATCAGGATTCGTTCCTTTTACCCCGTTCAACGAGGGCGAGCGCCGCGGGAACGCCGGCAACGCGACCGACGAGGTATACTCGAACGAGTCTGGCGACGACGACTGCCATGGAAGGGAAGTCGACAGCGACCACGGACTTGACGTCGATGAAGTTGTTCCTGGCCACAAGATCCAAGTGCCGCCTCGTGGTCCGTATGACGTATTGGTATGGTCGCCGATTTCAAAGGTCCTGTGGCTGCCTGCATACGTGTGCGACCCGTTCAAAATGCGATCGACAGTGGACACTTGGGGTACTACACTCTCTTGTCAATCGATCTAGAGTGCCGACGCACAAACCGCCGTCGTAGGTAGCAAGTATGTCGAAATGCTCCAAACTGTCCGCGCTGCACCGAATGACAAGCGGCTGGTGTACTTTTTTGGCGACCATTGCTTGTACGTCATTCAATTACGTAATCTGCCGGTCGAAAACATCCCATTCGTTGGTCGTAGTGGTGTGCGCCGCCCCACCGACATGATTCGACCGTGGAATTGTCCCGAACATGAACAATTCATGCGAATTGCGCTCGAGCAGAACCCGAATGCGTGGGACGAAGCTCAGGTATGCCCGCGACAACAACACATGTGCTTATCGTGCAAATGCATGGTATAGGCGTACTCTTTGGAAGATTCTGCGACGCGTTTGCTCCCTGGTTTTACAGAGACCGAAATGCGACGAAGTGCCCGGGACTCACGTGCGTCGTCCGACGACGAAGATGAAGGATACGGTCCCAAGTTGCATACCACGTCGGTGCAGTCGAAACCTGTGCGGCCGCGGGATGTCGAAGTACCATCTCATTCCCCAAAACGTCGCAAATCCAGCGCATCCTCTGCACCAACAGACCCACGGAAACGGGTTCAACGGGCACAGCCCCCTCCCATGGCGAAGAAACGAGTAGTGCCACCTACTCCGTCCACCACCGAGGCAAACCAATCGTCGTGGAGAGGTCAAGGTGCCGCGAAAGGACATGAACCGCCAGAGCCTTTGCAGGAACCAAGCTTGGAACAACCTGAAAATTCGTCGACGAGTGAAGGAGAGAGCCATAGCTGCTCCCCAAAAGATTTGAAACCAAGTGAACCTAAACGCCACGAGCTCAAGATTGCTCCAGTTGCCATCCAAGACATTCCATTAAATTCGTTGGCATGGGCTCGCATGAACGACACCCCGTGGTGGCCTGTATATGTTTGCGACGCCGAAAAGGTCCAGCCATCACTCAAGCACATGGGTAGGACCATGAACTCGATTTTTTGTAGAGCTAGGGAGCTCACACACTTGCAGGAACGCGCCATAGAACCCTCCTGAACACGGCCAAGGAATACCCCCACAGTCTTCGTCTCGTGTACATCTTCGGCAGCTCTCCGTCGTTGTAAGGGATGCTCGCGATGTTCTAGATCGCGTTCGTGACTGCCTCTGTGTCGTAGTGGGGTGTGCTCGAAAAACATGACGTTATGGCAATGCGCCGAACACAGTGCCCTTCTGAAAGGCCATCCAGCCCACGCTTTATCTGGCCGTGTCATGCGAGATTTTACAAAAGCAGTGCGCGATGCCGTGGTAAGTCGCGATTGCTGCCAGTCGGTTGCGCTCAATGTTGCTTAGAAATATCATGACACGGATGCGTATACGCGATTGCTGCCAGATATGGCCGAGTCCGACATGTCTCGATACATTCCTCCCCAAGTTCCGCAGAACTCAGTGGCGTGGGTGAAGACTGGAGACGACGCTCCATGGCGCCCAGGATTTCTATGCGACCACAACGCATTGGATCCCTCCGAACACGATCTCGGTATGGAACGATATACAAGCGCTTGCTGGAGTCGGCGCTGATCTCTCAACTAGGCAAGATCAACGACCGGATCATGCGAATCATCCAGGACAATCCATTCCGATACCGCATCGTGTACTTTTTCGGTTCCCGGCAATTGTACGCTGAGTGATCGAACTGAAGCATGTGTGGGAACTGACGAGAAATGATGTCGTTGGTAGCGGCGTCCTCAAGCCAAAGAGCTCAGTCCAGTGGTGGAACTGCCCCAACCACACGCAGTACGTCGAAGGATACCCGTCAAATTTGTGCGAAAATATCGATTTGGAATTTGCTGTCAAAGACACCGAGGTAATGGATCCACGATGAATCGACGGGTTTGGTATCCCGCACGTTGGTGCAGGCATTTCTAGCATCGGACCGGTTGTCAAACTTGTATCCTTTTGACCAAGAATCCGAGTCCCATCGACTAAGGCAATTCGACGACCGTGCAGCGCGAAAGCCAGCGCCAAATCTCGCGCCTGCACCGGTGGCACCGTCTGTCGACTTGGCGTCGCCTCCGCCTTCGTCGGCTCCAGGCGAGCCACACAAAAACGATGCTGCACCACCGAAGGCTCGACGCGGTCGTCAGAAAAAGCAACCAACCATCAGCGACACGACCACGATCGTAGGAGCCCCGCCGCCGGTGTCGACCACGTGGACATCGAATGCCTGCGTGTCGTGGGCGAAAGTTAAAGGTTACCCGTGGTGGCCAAGTTATATTTGCGATCCCAACAAACTGCGAGACGAGCTGGTGCTACTAGGTTTGTTCGATGTGGTGCGCTGTGAATGTCATCAGTGGGTTTTGCAGGCAATGGTCATCGATCGCAGTTGCAACAAGCAAGACAACGACCCACCACGCACAAGCTAGTGTACTACTTTGGCTCAAACAGCTTGTACGTCGGCGCAAGAGTCCATCTTGCCGTGGTATCCTCACACATCTCTCTGCGTTTGTCGATGCAGCGGTCTGCAAATCGTGGACCCGTCCAATCCTCAGTCCGTCATTAAGCCGTGGAATTGCGAAGACCACAAGCTCTTTCGCGGTGGATATCCCATAAAGATGAGTGCAGATTCGAAAAACATCGTGGACGAATTCAAAGATGCAGTCAAGGAAGCGGAGGTGCGTCAACATAGACAAGTTGTTCACTGTGGTCATGGTGGCGATGTAGGCGTTCCTGGACGAAGATCCGTCGATGCGATTGCTTCCGTACATGGTCCCTACAGACATGGACTTGACCCTGCGACGCCCACCCGATTTCCCGATCCCACTCAATGCTATGGTGTGGGCCCTCTGCGATTCGTATCCGTGGATGCCGGCGTTCGTGTGTGACCCATCCAAGTTACTATGCAATAAGGACAAGTTGAGTACGTGATCAACTCTTTGTCGAAAAGCGCTCACGCTTGGAAACGTACAGGTCCCCAGCAAAAGAAGTTGCTAGCTAGAGCCATGGCCAAGCCTGACGAATGCTGGCTCGTGTACTACTTTGGAGTGCGAACTTTGTACGATTGATATTCATGCTTACGATTTCACGAATCGTCTGAATGTCCTGTTTGACGTGTAGTGCCCTGCATAAAACCCGCGGGACAATCAAGTTGTGGGACTGCAGCGAGTACCAAAACTTCGTGCGAGGGTATGCCGAGTCGCTGATTGTCGCCGACGACGCATGGGAGGAGTTTGCGAATGCGATAGCTGATGCAAAGGTCGAGCCGAGATGGGTTGCGCCGATCTGACCTGGTGGAATGCTAGGACTTTATGTCCAAAGACGAAAACAGTCGGGAGCTGCCTGGTATGGAGACGATGGTTTTGCCCATAGCACCCGATGCCATCGATCTCACGTTGTCGCCCGATTCAACCACCCAACGCAAAGCACGAAGCATTCCAGATTTGTCGCTCGAGGACGGGGTCGTCCCACCACAGCGTAGCAAGCGCTGTGAAGTCCGACCTGGAATTCGCCACCATCGATTCAAACTTCCTGTTCATCGCGAGGAATACATTAGTGCGAACAGCAACTTGAGTGGTACGCGTGCAAAATGCACAACTAGAAAAATAGTTTATAGACTCTTGCGTAGATGACGAAGCTGCGATCGATGATGACGTCGAAGCAGGAATTGCGGCTTCGAATCGAAAGCTCAAGCAAACCAAGCGCGCCGTCGATCTCGTCAGCTCAAGAATGACCCCAGACGACTTCAAGTACAACCCTGCCCAGCGCCAATTCTTGCAAGGTGCTTTAGTCACCTGAAGAATTATCTCACGACAAGATGCGATTAGCTATCGAAATCAAAGCCGAAGTACCTGGCAATGAAGCCGACGCTTCAACGCATCGCTTGAAGCGACACAAAGGAGCAGCTAGTGATGAGGCATCCACCGACACAACCATAGACGCGCCGATCGTGGTCCAGCCATCGGTGTGTAGTTTGCGCAGGTGCCACATTCATCTTTTACCCCTTGTCCGGGTGTCTAGGTTGTGAACCGCCCGATCCCTCCCCTGGACGGTGATCATGGCATTCAAAACATGTCGGAATCTGCCCCATCGATTGTGCCAGTTGAAAGTCCCTCGGACGAGATGAATTCGACTGTATGGTTTGATCATGGCGTCTGAGTTCGATGAAGCGATCGGGATTAGGGTGCCGCGTCTTCCCGAGTCATGCAAGCAAAGGAGCATGGTGCCGAAATGATCGATGGTGCGGGTAACCTGAACGCGACTGTACGAACTGCCGGTTTTCGTTGGATATTGCTCATCGGGATTGCAGGATGGCGTGGTTGGGACTGCACACGCTCGAACAGAATGGAAGACTCATGTCGATGTGCATTCCAAGCGTACGGCGGACGAGGGTACGTATCACAGCCCAGTCGCACGGAGCTGACCAGGTGTAGTCGAAGAGCACAGTGTCGCTCCTGTCGAATCGGCGAATTTGACCAGCGAGTTGTCGGATGAGGCAACGACCACACCGCTGTCAAGTAGTGCGCATCACCGTGTGATGTGGGCTTTTGTGGATGGGCTTCGCTGGTGGCCCGTGCATCCAATCGATGGAGTGAACGAAAAGGATTTCACGACAGGTATGGAACTGCCTTACTCGATGGCACTCCTCCTTTCGAACCAACAGAACCTCATGATATTGAAGTTGTACACTTCGGCACATACAAACGGTAAAGTGGAATCGCGTGTGTGGATGCGATGGAATGATGTTAACATAGGAGCTTGCTACCCTGGGATGCATTACGGCCTTGGCGCTGCGAAGATCATGCCGCATGGGTCGCAAATGCTGCCACGGAGGAAGGCTACATGGGAGGAGAATTCACACATGCCATAAAAGAAGCGGAAGTACCTTGATTGGCAATGGTATGTGACGACAGACTAACGTACATTGACTTAGGATTTCTTGAAGACTGGGGACTGGACTGCAAGCTGGAGCCAGCCAAACCCTCTGAAGGATGCGCTCGATCACGCACCGTGTCAAGACGAGTCAAATGCTTCACTTTCAAGCAACAAACCCGTCTGCCATGATCCCATTGCACCTTCGGCAACTTCCGAAGCAGAGGTCGATTAGCAGGACGGCTTCATTTTAGCGTGGCATTCAAATTGTAATCCCAATTTTCCTTGTGCTCGGACTTGCATTATTCCTTCAGTCCTTGACATTCTTACGGGACACTGTTGGCAGAATTTGCGTCACACGTAAAGTTGGGCGCTTGGACGGAAGCCGATGGAGCCAACTCGTGGAATCTCGCCGCAAGGTCCATGTATGGCTGACACCGCTGGGCTTCTGTCATTGCCGCGCGGCCACTGGTGCTTGGCAACACCCACACTTCACATGATGGAGGCAATGGCCAGTCGGGTGGCAATGAAGCATGCTCTTGCTTCCCGTTTGGAATCGACTAACGACAGAGTTGCACATTGAAGAAACGTCATACATACGCCGTACATGCTTGGCAGGCGGGTCAAACAAGTACGTGAATTGCCGCTTTCCCGAAAACGCCACAAGCAATGGCCCATGCTGGTATGCGTTTGAACATTTCATCGCCATGGAGGCCGACGCATCGTTCTCGTGCAGCGTAGCCGCAACTCGACGTAGATGTTGCCTCATGCGAGCGTAAAAATCGTGCTTCCACTTCGTCACTAAACAGTTTAAGCGTGAGCTTAGAGGACCCACAATTATGAATGTTGAGGAATGTACTTGTCTTGCGGTCGTATTTAGAAGCATCGTTGCCCGGCTAGACATTCGAGTGATTTCGTGTGCACCAGTAAAACGGTGTTCATACCTCAATACCAAGGTCCGAGAACCCAATGCCCAGCGCATGCGGCATCTTGTTTTGGTCCGACATGGTCCAGTCCTTTGGAAGAACTCCCTTCCACACAGTTTTGTAGTACTCGCCAGCAAGTAACTTCCACAGTCGATTCGTGGGATTGCTAAAAACACGGTGAATTTACTCCATTGATACGAGTAAAGAGCACCTGTATGAGAACCCGCCTACAGCGAAATGGTTTGAGTTTCACGTCACGAACGGATGCGCCCTACTCTGCCATGCATGATCCGAAGGATTGTGACCGACAATCAGTAGACGAAGCGGTACTTCAGGGAAATGAGTACACTCCTGCACAAGGCCGAAGCAGTCGTCGCAAATGCTGCGATACCGCTCCTGCCACTTTCGAGGGAGGACTCGGGTGGCGTGCTTGCTTTTCTTCGCTAAGTTCAAAGTAGCGTCTGTTGGAGCTTCCTCGTCGACTTCCTTTCGTTTCGCGGTTCTTTCGGCTCCTGATGTGGGCGGCATACTCGAGCTGCGTTGCCGGCACTCAGGAGGGTGGACAGCGCTTTGGCTGAATCGGAATCTGGTGAACATGATCAAAGTGGCAGTGCGCCAACTTGTACAAAACGGCCAGAGTGTCAAAATATCTCCAACTGGAACTAACTGAATATACTTCTACAACTATTTTGAGCACAGATGTGAATGATGTTCATAAACCATGGAAAAAGTTGCGAATGATGGGCGCGTGATCCAACTAATAATGAGGTGTTTGTTCCCTGAAGACTTCTGACTGTCCGATGGCGGCGACCCGGACATGCGTGAAGGGGAATGTGATGCAGGCAAGAATAGGAGAGAGAAGAGAATAGTGGTAAGAACATTCTTGCTTGGCTGCGTAGTACGTTTGGAGGTTGTCGGAGGCGCGAACGTGGGAGACAATGCTGACGAGCTTGAGGTGGTTGTCGAGAGAAATGTAGCTGGCTGGGATAGCTGCCAAAGTTGTTGTCTACGCTCACCAACAAGTACACATCGGTGTAAGTGACGTGGTCCCCCGTGAAATATGGCCCTGACACGCGATTCCTCAGGTTGGCGAAGGCTCACTGAATCACGTTGCGGTTGAGGCGGAAACTTGACGAGGTTGGTGGTGTCTTCGTCCGACGGAATGCCATGGAGATGGTGACATTGAAGACTTCGGCGAGGGTGCGAACGATAGAGTTGGCTTCATTCCCTCTAAGCCGCCTTGGGGGTGCAAACCCAGCTAGGGACATGTTCTGGGCGAGCGTCTTGCCGGCGACCTCCAGCGCCGGCAGCTGCCCGAACGGCATGTTCAGCGAGCTCTTGGTCGCACTATACTCGGAGGACGTCGCGCGGAGCGCAGCAATTGCCAGTAAACACCAATGCGCCTTGCGTAAACACCAATGCGCCTTGCGTCAAGTGGGATTTTGTTAGAATAAGCGACTGAATGCTTTACCATCTTCCTTTTGCTCTACAGCAACCTCTCTCTCTTTCTCACACTTCTCGCACCTTGTGTACATCACAGAGTGGAGTGTGGAGGACGTGGGTTTACAGGACTGTACCACAAAACGTTAGAGTTTGTCGAGTTTTTGGTTTTGCGTGGACATTTGAAAGTCGTGAAATTTGTTGGCGTTCATCTATCGGCACTGACACGACGTGCTGTACAGCAGTTTGGATTTCCATGCAAGCCACGGGGGTTAGGAGGGTTGCATGGGTCATGCCAACTAGTCATACACGGGGATACCCGTGTATGACTAGTGTAAGTTTGTGACCATACCAAGGACGTCGCCGCCTTGCATATCCTTAGTACATCCCCCTTCATCTTGGCGATATGTCCTTTGCCATGTGTAGAAACCAGACAGGGCAAAAACACCGTCGAGAAGGCCGTTGGCGATCCGGACGCGGCCTTCATCTACTTTTTAGCTCGCACAACTTGTATGGGTGATCCCTTGGACAGAGGTGACTGACATGTTTGCAATGGCTTGCACAGGTTGAACAAGGTGGTGCCATGGAAGCGACCAGGTCACTCGGAATGGATGTCACACCGCTCAAACAAGATAAGAGCTGTGGATCGTGGAGAAGTTTTCGTTCGCAAAGCACAAAGTTGAGGTCATCGTTGGGGCTGTATATGCATGATCTTAACCTTGTTCATGTGGTCGTCTCGTAGGAGTTCTAGCAAACCAACGCCAAGGACGACACTTTCTTGCCATACATGAACGTCAACGGCCAAGACGAAGTGACAGCGTTGGCACGTAGGTCGATCTGTGCAAGATGAACAACCTGCTTCTGGATGTATTCAACCAGCATCGTGCCACCGACGCTTCGGTCCCCGCCTATTATGCCTAAGGTCGTGCACGGATCCATCGGTTGGGCGCTTATCGACCCGACCACATTCCGTTGTTACCCGTTCGAATAATGGACCCTCGACGTGTACACACGAGCAGGAAGCAAGGTGTCGAGACTTCTTAAAGCTTGGCATGAACAACACCCGATTAGAGTGCGAGAGCTTAGAAAGGGTCCTTGAGGCACCTCACATTTTCACGTTGGTGTACGTGCTTGGCAGACAAGAGCTGTAGGTTCATGCAAGCGCCCACTATGCTGCTAACCCTTCGCGGAATAGGAAGGCGGTCGAACCCAACACACGACGATTTTGTTCGAGGATGTCCGAACGACCTTGAGAATTCCAAACAATCTCGTTGCGCTACATGGAGCAATGGAAGAAGGTGTGGCGACGACAGAATCTCAATGCATTGCGACAGTGGCATAGAAATACTCTGAGAGTGTTCGCACGCGATCCGCTCCATCTCCAACGATGCTTGCGCTTCACGCCCCTGGTTCAACCCTCAGAGAAAATGTGGCTGAATCAATGATGTGGGTGCAAGCCACTTGCGAACGCTGCGTTCCTGCCTTTGGGTGCGACCCCATGAAACGTGACACTGTCCTTCTTGAAAATCGGTCACCGAGCGACGCAATATCCATTCTCAAGAGACGAAGTAGGGGCAGCAATGTTTCGCCCCGTGACCTAGAATACGCGCAAACGCGTCGAGGTTTCCGAATCGTTTATCCATTTGGGCTGTGTCACCTCAAGGGTGTATCGGAGGAGCACGTATCGAGAGGGTGACTGGCGTCAAACTACCACTGGGGTGTAGACCCGACGAGTGGCATGGACCAAAGCACAGGAAACTCGTCAAGAAATGCAAAGCCAAGCACCTCGGGGCCTTTCAAGAGACTCAGGTGGAAGTTTTGGTATGTGCATCTCGCTCATGGTCGATTTTGACGACAGAGATCGCTTCTCGAAGTTCGACGGCATCCCCATGAAAACTCGGTCCCGTACCAAACTCCCAGCTACCAATCTCTTGTTGGGTGTTCTACCAGTGCCATGGACCAGCAGTTGCAAGTCTCGTTTCATCAGCGTTTTGTCCAGTACGTCAAACTTCGTTTGCCTTGGATAGTACTAGCATCATCGTAATGTCGTGGACGATGCGGCTCCTTTGTGCTCATTGTCCCGTATGCAAAAATATATTGACGCATCATCGTTATGGTTTACCACCCGTCGCTAAAACAAATTGAATGTAGTTGTTCTGCGCACATACTGCCAAGAACTCGCCGACGACGACGAACTTCTCAAATCCTTCGTGCAAGCCCCACTGCTCCAGTTGGATCCGCTGGCGCTGGACGAACTGAGCAAACCCCTCAAGGACTTGGTCCAGCGGCTCGACATGGACATTCACAAAGCCCGCGTTGAGCCAGTCGGACTCGTACTGAGTTACCGTCTTCAAGTTCTCAAATGGCACTCCGGTCATAGACAACAAGCCACGCAGCTGGACATGTTGAAGACCCGTCCACGTCAACACTTCATCTGCCACAACAACATCGATCATTCCTAGCACGCCACCGGGAGCCAAAATGGCAAACGCCTCGGCCAGAAACGTTGCGCGGGTGACGAAGTGGTACGCAGCATCGCAAGACACGATCTTCGTCACAGCGGCAATTGAATCCACGTGTGAAGCAAGACTTGTGGCTGACCCTAGAGCAATGCGGATACGGTCGGAAAGGCCCAACGACTGCACCATTTGGACGGCACCAGCGACGTGTTCGGGCGTAATGTCCACACCCAGCACTTCCGCCACGTTGAAGTAGGTATGCCACAATATACATTGATCGCCACGACCACATCCAACGTCCAACACGATGTCCTTGGGGCCAAGTTTAACGGCGCGACCCAAACAAAGCGCAAGCTGCTCACACGCGGCAGGGTATGTGAGGTCGTTCGATGTCCACAAACCCAGGTTGATCCAGGTTGACGTCTTCGTGATTGGAGATTTGTGCTGCGTCAAGCAGGCCAAGGTGGGGCTCAGCTGGAAGCCCGACGAGCTTGGCTTGCGCGTGTGCAGGTAGTGCAGCACATACCCCGCCAAGAAGCATGCTGCCGGCACGGCAACCGCCGATAGACTAGATGGGACACGCATTTTGCAGCACTTTGACTAATCCGCATAATAAAGAAAACTGTTCGGATAATCATCGTCAACCTCATTTAGTGTGGATTAATATATAGTGTGGATTAATATATAGTGTGGATTCAGAATTAGTGTGGCCATAGTCAGAGTCAACCCGTCGGCATTTGTTACACACCATTGCTCCATTGGCATCAACATGTTGGCCTTCGATTGAGGAATTGAAAAGACTTGATGTCTTCGATGAGCTTGTCCTGTCGATCGAGATAAGCCTCCCTTGAATGAAAGCCTACGAATCACCTCATGAGTGTGCTCGATCTGTTCGTACATTACCTTGGCCTCGTCAATTGCTTCCCGGGACTTTTCCCACACCTTTTCATCTATGAGTGGTGCTTCAGCATTTCCTTCGATGAACGAGTCATGTTCCTTGCAACCCCACAACTTGATGGTGCCACGAATCGAGTGCGGCTTACTACGAAACCACATTAGAGCGGCAACGAGGGATGCTCCAGCAGTCCATCGCATGGTTGAACTCATAACGTGCAAAGAAAGGGGAGGGTTCTTGTCGTGGAGTTGTCGGCTCCTTCATCCATCGATCCAAATCGGATGGAACCATGTAAGGTAGCACACGGCCGGCGGCAGGCGACGCCAGGAATACCTAAGCATAAACATCCAGTCAACTCGCACATATTCTAGTCTCCGTTCACCTCTACTTCCACCATAGCGTTCATGAAATGAGCCCCTGTGCGCTCCATCACATCGCACTCAATTAACTGAGGTCCTTTGCACAGTAAGCCGTGGTCTGGTCCGTTCCAAGGCTTGAGCTGTTGTGTCGCGTGGCAGGCTGCCGTCCGCTGGATGTTGGCCATCAGTCCGTCGCCATTCATAGGACCACCGATTTCACGTACAACTCATGGAGGCCAAAATAGTACACCAGCTTGAATATGTCCTAGTTTGTTGCTGCAATGTCTTGGTCAAGCATGTGAGCGTCCCCTTTCATGCAAGATTGAGGCCAGGGATTTCAAAAACTA